CACCAGAAACATAAACACTGCGTCAATAACTACGTCATATCCCATTGTGTTTACCAATTTACATGTGTGTGGGCACAAATACATAGGAAGGAGTGATCCAGCCATGCATTTGAGGGTGGGAGAATATTTACCTAAATGGTTCCGAAAATAAATGGAGTGTAAAACCGTGATAAACGCTGGTGGGAGACGACCCTCTTCAGCTACAGCTAAACATATCATACAAGGAGGTTACAAATTTAATCTTCAGTTTCAAAGCATTATATAGAAACAGTCAGGGGCGTATACTGACATTTGTGGAAGCTATACACAAATTGAAACCATCCTTAAGTGTATAAAGCCAATTTGTTCTTACATTACATCTACCTTGATAAACTTGGTTTTCTTATCAAGATTAGGATCAACTATGTTACTGTTCCTGTTGGTCCTCATCTTTCTCAATATTAATCCACCTATTACGTTAATTAACCTCGCCTGGTTAACTAGTTCACTAGTTACTAGACGGTCCTAAGCCCGGGTAAAGAGGGAGGGTTGGGCATAGGGCTACCAACCCCACCCCGTAAAACAAATCTAACCGCTAAACAAACTTCAAAGCACAAACAAAATATAAAAATAATAACAAAATTATTTCTCGCTGGAATCGGAGAGGCGGAATGACGCCGGTTGGTGAAAGCCTTCAGGAAGCCAATTGGCCGATGTGTCTTCACTCCCTCGATCAAAGCGAAAGTAAACGTGGAGACATGGAATGTCCGCACCATGTTTGAACCCAGCAAGGCAGCCCGGATTACAAACGAGATGAGAAGGTATCACATAGAAGTGCTAGGAATTTGCGAAAAAAAAGCAGATGGAATGGGAGTGAACTCTCCAAACTGTCAACTGGAGAGTCAATAATCTACTCCGATATTGTCACCCAGACGACAACCACAAGCACACCGAATTTTCGAGTGGCTGTCATGATGTCCCCAACAGTATCGAAGGCTCTCATGCAGTGGGAACCAATCTCCTCCAGAATCACGATCATGACAGCAAGGTTCAACTCAAAAGGAAGGAAAGTCACAATCATTCAATGCTACGCACCTACAAAAATTGCAGATGAAGAGAAGAAGGAGGAATTCTACACACAACTGCAATCAACACTGGACAAGACACCAGTTGGCGATATTAAAATTCTAATGAGCGGAGTGACATGAATGCCAAACTGGGAAGGGACAACACAGGAAGAGAACTAACCATGGGTCGAGAAGCACTCGGTGAGGTGCAGAATTCTGTGCATTCACCGATTTGGTGATTGCAGGCACTGTGTTCAAGCACAAAGCGACATGAAAAAGATTTCACCAGACACACAGACAACACTAAAAATCAAATCGACTTTATCTCAATCTCAAAAAATTGGAGACGCAGTCTACTTGACACAAAAAAAGATCAAGAAGAGGAGCAGATGTAGGCCCACACCACTATCTGGTGCAAGGAACCTGCCTTCCAAATCAAGTTAAAAGCCTTCAAGGAGGCTGGTGATAGACCACAGTTCAAGTACAACACTAAGAAAAAAAAAAAAACTGAAGGACGAAACTACGAAGGACATCTTCACGGCAGCCAAAAATCAAGACAAAATGGGAGATATCAAGCAACATCCCTGAAGAAACTTGTGTGGATGAACACTGGAAGTCTTTGAAAGAGATGTGGAAAGAAACCTGCATAACCGTATTAGGAAGGAAGAAGAAAGGAGATAAGGAATGGATCTCGATGGAGACATGGAAGCTGATAGAGCAGGGAGAGGAGGATGGTGAAGCAGATCATAAACCAGTGCAAAAAAAGGATGCTCAACGACATGAGGAACTGAGTACAATGTATAAAACACTACACTGGATAAAGAAGTGAAGAAGGGTGCATGCAAAGACAAAAGACACTTCCACGAAACATTGGCAAGTGAAGCAGAACAGCCTGCAGGTAAGAGAGACCTGACAACATTGTATCAAATAACCACGTTACTATCCGGGAGGCGAGAGATCAACACACATGAAACCAATAAAAAATGATGACAGGAATTTAATTACGAAAGAAGAGAAACAAAGGAAAAAATGGGCCCACCACTTCAAGAAGCTCTTGAATCGACCACCACCACCACCACCTGCACTTCGTCCAGAAATACCACATACAGTCGCTGAACTACAAGTGAACATGAATCCTCCAACAAAAGTGGAAGTCCTGAGCGCCATAAAGCTACTGAAATGTGGGAAAGCAGCAGGACCAGACGGGATCCCACCAGAAGCACTGAGAGCAGATGCAGAGACAACAGCGGACATGCTCACGCCACTAATGCAAAAGGTTTCGAAGGAAGGGAAGGTAGCTGCCGATCGATTGGAAGAAGGGCTAGCTTGTCAAACTGCCGAAGAAGGGAGACCTCAGTGTTTGCAAGAGCTGGCGCGGAATCAATCTCCTGTCCACCCACAGCAAGCAAAATATCAATCCGCATCATCCTGGAGAGGCTAAAGGATGCGCTAGGTTCAAAACTACGACCGGAACAGGGCGGCTGGATTCAGGTAGTACAAATCATATGCGGACCAAATTGCAACTCTACACTACATATCATCATAGAACACAGCATAGAATGGCAGTCAACGCAACTCTACCTCAACTTCATCGACTTTGAAAAGGCCTTTGACAGAGTCGACCGAGAGGTAATTTGGAAACTGCTTCAATACTATACTACGGAATACCGCAAACCTTTATCAGCCTCATTCAACAACTATATGAAGATGCCACATGCCAAGTAATTCACAATGGGAAGCTCAGTGATGCTTTTGAAGTGAAGTGAAGACAGGAGTGAAACAAGGCTGGCTACTATCATCCATGACATTCTTGACTGTAGTGGACTGGATCATGCAGTAAACAGTGAAGAGCAAGAAGAGGGGGATACGCTGGACCGCGGAAAAGAACCTAGAAGATTTGGATTTCGCAGATGACTTGTGTCTGTCACACAAACTTGAAGATCTACAGGCAAAAACTAACAAGTTGACAGAAGAGGCAGAGGATGACGTCAAAGTCAGCCAGGATCTGAAAAGCAAGACAGGCATTCATTAGCCTGAAACCAGTGTGGAGATCTGCACTCAGCATAAAGCGTGAACAACATCCGAATTTTCAACACCAACGTCAAGTCAGTGCTTCTATATGGTTCAGAGACTTGGCGCGTCATGAAAAGCATTTCCAACAAACTACAGATGCTCATCAACAACTGCCTACGCTGGTTGGTTACTGAAGACCAGATGGCCAGAATAATGAGAATGAGCTACAAGGAACTCCGGCTGTCAATGAACCAACCAAGAACCTATCACTCAACAAATATGCATTGGAAGGAAGTGGAGATGGATTGGGCATACACTGAGAAGACCATTCGGAGATATCACGCCCCAGGTACTCGAGTGAGATCGAGATGGGAAACGACGAGTCTGGCGTCTGAGGTGAGGGTGACATGGAGGAGATTGTGCGAGGATGAAATGAGAGCTTGTGGGCCGTTGTGGAGCCAGGTTCAAAAGATTTCAGAGGACAGAGCGCATTGGAGACGTACTACTGAAGTCCTATGTTCCATTAGGAACCGAAGGGAAAAATAATAATAATAATAATAGTTATGTTATTTGTTGTAATGTCCCTCAGCTCTTCGGTTTATATATATATATATATATATATATATATATATATATATATATTGATTTGACAAGTAAATGTGTAATCAGATTGTTCGAAATGCATTGTGCAAATACATCAATTACATTGTTCAGATAAAGTTCATCTTCTAATTACGCTATAGAAATTCAAAGAAAGGACTAATTGTTTCAAAAATTCATGCGTGATCAGATCGTTCGAAATGTATAGTGATAATATGTCAAATATTTCAGATAATCTTTTTCCTCTTATTATCCTGTCTAGAAAGATGAGTGATTTATATGACCATTTACAAGCTTCCTAGTTATTGGCCTAATAAAAACGTGCCTATTACAAGATACAGGGAATACGGGTCAAATAATGTGAAAAGTGAAGCATCTTAAACCGGACATAAAACTGTCTCTAGTATAATCAAGTTCATGAAACTATTAACTAACTAACACGTTTAAATCAAATGGCACAAGCATGATACACAATGTGACGAATGCTATTTGGTAGATAAGGGAATTATTTCATTTCCTAATAACTGATAGATAGACAAAATCAACGTCGAACCTCACATACAAGAGCATCGGCTCAAGTTGACACATTTCACAGTGGCATACAAAGAATAAGCTAATAGATATGACATGATAGGGATATGGACAATAAACTAAGTCTAAAACGCTATTTAGTAAATGATACTGTTTCATTGTGTAACATTTTTAATAAATAGACTAAAATGGAATTACGATCTATCACAGTACCCAGGTTTTACCTCTATATTGATTAAAAAAAGACTGATATTTAAGTAGACAAAGTTATGTAAGACAATAAACAGTTTGAAGATACAGGTTAGTATGAATATTCAAATTTCAGATGTCAAGGAGCGACCGATTTTCAGCAATCTCACCAACAGTCCTCAACCACTGATTCCTTTCGTCTCGGAGACACCAACCAGGTAATTTATATCTCCCTACTTGGCTCAGACTAACAGTAAGGTGCCCCACCCTGGTCTGGACACCCTGAACCCTTTTTCAACCTAATTCAACTTCTCCTAGCATGGTTATTCGAGGTAGGCGGTGGATCGGCATGCATCTCAGTCCATGAAAGTTCACGACTTTATTAGCTGACTTACCTTCATTCTCTAGCATCTTACACCTGACCACGATATTGCTAACATGGTGATTTTATCATACACCAGCAATGCTAAAAAGATACCTGTAATCAAAAACCTGTAACCGCCTCATATTTTCTAATTTTAACCGCCATGTCTTACAACCGCATAACAGAACAGAGGAGACTGAATCGGTATAGCAAAGAAAATATTGATATTGAAATGAAGGTAACAAAGAATTACTTACATTAGATGAAGTGTAGCAAGGAGTTTCTCCACTTCTAGTGATAGCACGTGAAGATTTTCTTTCTTGAAATAACTTTAAAATTTGATTCAACCTATCAACACGTGTATTAAGATCAGTTGATGTTGATAAATTCACAGAATTCAAAGTTGATGATGAATAAGGCATAAATACCAAAGCTTCTAAAACAGTTCGACTAATTGGCGGATGTAGACTATTCAAGAGAACTGCATCATTCGTGAAACAAAAGTGTACAGGTCGTCTAAAACAAATCAATATTTAAGCATATTGTAGTAAGATAGTGATTGCAAAAATCCATCAAAATGAAAATAATTAATTGATATAGAGAATAAAAGTATTGCCTTGGTTTTGTAATAAAAGTCATTTTCAAAGTTATCATGGAATCTAGTTAGTATCTTCACATTTATTTAACTAAGTAGTCAATAGGGAACTCTGTATGATTATTAGCTAGTTTCATTAATCATGCTTCTTCACAGAACACAATGAATTCTTATGTAAATAGATAGCCATAAAACGTATAGGACGTACCATAACTGTATAAATGTTCTGGTTGAATGAGTGAAGTCCAGAATCGTTTACATCCAATATACAAATAACAAAACAAGACACATAAGTGAACAATACTGTTTTCAATTAGATCCTGTCCAGGCCTTACTCTAATATAAATAGCTCAATATATATAAAATTAAACTAATCATGTAGATTTGCCGATTGGTGTGATGTTTTAAAATAACGATGGTGGTAATGATACAAATAATAAAAGTGACAGCGTTGACTAAAACACTTGCAATATAAATGGTAATGATGATAAGGACCAAGAAAACAGCATGAAGATGTCGACACTCCGATTATCAAAGTGGGAAAATAAAAGTTATGTAATACTGAAGGACGAGGTTAGTGGATAAACAAAGCCTAAACAAATATAGTAAGTATATGAAAGGGGTGAAGAATAAGAAAATGGGTGGGGGAAAAAAAACGGAAAGATAAAGTTATTAACTAAGTATTCCCTGGCCAATGGAGAGATAAGCGATGCACAAACTTTTTCTGAATACAAAGACTAGGATTATTAGTTCGAATTCCCACACCTTCTGCTATGTGTAAAAGACGAGTTGGAATACTTTTCGAAAGATGAGATGGTATGCAGTGAATAATCATGAAAGCATTATTCTTATCTATCATGTGACCACTATCAACGAGGTGAGATGAAACCGAACTTCAGATGGATTTTATCTATTCCTTTCCCAACCATGAAAGTAAATGCTCAGCAAAACGGCTATTAAGTTGTTTAGTAATACACCCTATATAGCTTTCTCCACAGGAGCAGCTAAACTTGTAAATACACAGAAGTGGCAAAAGTGGATACCTTATCTTTAGTCTGCGCAACAAGAATTGGTCGACTAGAAAATGGTAGACGTAGAAAGTCCTTTTAATGGCTCTAGAGAGTCTCTGATACAAAACTTCTCTGGCTACATCTCCATTAAATTATAATTTCATGAACAATGATTTCTTTTGTACAGCAATAATTCCAGGTTTGTTTCCCCTGGCTTTGTTCATGTCTTTTTACAAAACTGTTAGGGTAGCCCATTTCAACCAATGAATTACTAATATATTCTAATTCTTTCTGTATTTCTCCTTGCGCTGTTAGGGAGTTATTTAACCAGGTTTGCTTTGTGTCGAATGGGTTCGTGGACTAAGAAAATGTGTATACTTACAGATGTAGTCTTCCTGTAAACATATCTGCTGAGTGAACCATCTTCTCTTCTGTTTAACAAGACATCGAAAAAGTGTAGTTTATTCTTCACAAGTGAAAGTGGGTAAAGGGTATCCCTCATTAAATTTCTTAACACCCTTTTTGTATTTACATTCTGATCCAGGATAATGAATGTGTCATCAATATAACCGTGATACATATTTATCTCATTAATGACATCTTTCGATGCTCCATTCTCCAGTTTGACAAGAAATATATTAGCTAAAATAGGGCCAAGTGGTGAACCCATAGCTTTCCCATCAATCTGTCTATAATGAGAGCTATTGAAGACAAAATATACATATTCATAGTACATCTAAGACCGAACTTTTCCAGTCTACGTTATCACTTTCATTATTTGTATTATTATCACCATTGTTACTTTAAAACATTTATCACAGGAACCGACGAATCTCCATGATTGATTTAATTTTAATTTTATATATATTGAGCTATGTATATTAGAGTAAGGCCTGAAGAAGATCTAATTTAAAACAATATTGTTCGCTTATTTGTCTTGTTCTAATTTACTTTATGGGAACTTTTAAAACTTAAATACAAATAATAGATAATAAGTGAAAATAGATAAAAATAACTCAGCAACTGTGATCTATTTTAAAATATACTGTTCGAAGTCTTGAGCTGGGATTCATTGGTCTTGGTACTTGACTTTTAACCAGTGGGTCACTGTTATGACCAGTTCATGGGAACTTCCCTTCATAGATCAAGTAGGATTTCAGAGGAATCTGAAGTCCCACAAATTATAACAAGCTAACAAGAAAACATCATAAACATTTTAACTGGATCGAATAATTCAACAACGTTTGTGTTAATGACTATGACCAACACTTCAGAGAAAAGCCTTTGTAACTGATCTTCGATTAGCCAACAAGGTGTTTTGTGACTTTCTGAAAGCACAGCTAGTTTATATATTGTTTGCTCGACCTAGTTAACTCAACTTCTTTTCAGTCAATTTCAGTTGGAGGTAAGTGATACGTAACTAAACTAATTCATTACTCTCATGTTATCATCGTCAAGTACCCGACTCAGTAAAAAAATCGAACTGCAACGACCCATTCACAGAGCAACCATGGTGAGTTATATCTAACGTATGAAAGTAAGGTTCGAACCCCTGACCTACCAGATAGAACTCATGATACTAAACCAATGATACAATTCAAAAAATAGAAAATAAAGGGGAATAATTGAAGAAATAAAAAAGATGTTATAATGTAGAATAAGATTACCAAAATCTTCAGAAGTCATAAACCCTGAAACATCTTTCAAACAACTACTTTGTTCCGAAGTTACGAGAGAAAGCAAGTAAATCAACGCGTAAATATCAGACTAGTTGAAGAGACAAAAATCAATGGGATATTCAAATCTTGAAAAGCCTAGAAACACCCAAGGCCATTATATATATATATATATATATATATATATATATATACCCTTGTATCTTGTATTTCTTTTTAAGGTTGTAATACGGCTGTTATCTTACTGCTTTTTTCATTAATCAAGAGACTGAGAGACCAGCAAGGGGTGTTCAGACTCTCTCACACGAATAAATATATACCTCAGGCTATAACACGAATCGACCATTTATGCTCAAAAACAAGATGCAATTAGTTTCAACTACGACAAGGATTCACGTGGTTGACTATGGAAAATAAAGAATACCCATTGAAAATACCAGCCTTTGATATGCTAATGTGATACACATAGAAAAAACGTTTACTTTCTGCATTCCTAAAGAAGTTATAAATCTATGAAATAACTTACAACTAATCAAATTACTCAGTGAGTTTCATGAAGTTTGGAAAATCCGGTGAAAACAAGCTTCTAGAATGCCGTAAGTGTCAAGGTCCCCGGTGCAGATATGAATAGCTGAGGTGTTTGTATAAGATTGATATTAATTCCAAATGAAGTAAATGCTGATGAAGTTACCTAATCTGATGATGAAACATCCAAGAACAATCATCGAAGCTCGGAGAATATCAAATAATAATCATTACAATATTTCCTCCTTTGTCTTATATCTGTTTGCCTTCTTAGAAATAGAGAGATCATTGAGGTAGATGCTGGAGAGTATTGTTCATGTGTTCATAAAAGTATATCAGCTTTTCAAAAGATATCAAGTGGTGACAAGATGAAGTAGTAATAATTATTTCTGTACAACAACTTTAGGTTATGATGGTAGGGCATTAAAGGAGATTTGAACAAACAACACTGATGGATTTTACACATATTGACCGGCACCAAGCTCTGCACAGCCTCACTTTTCCCACGCAGACACATTAATTACTTCAATCTATGAATATGGCTTCGATGACTCAGTGAAACGATTAACATATTGTATAATATGGAGAAAGTAAAAAACCTCTCTCACGCGCCAGGCACTCGAATGGAACCTAGATGGGAAACGACGAGTTGGGCGACCCGTCCGAGGGTGACATGGAGGAGATCGCGTGAGGAAGAAATGGGAGCTTCTGGGCAGTCGTGTAGCCAGGTTCAAAAGATTGCAGAGAAGAGAGTGGAATGGAGACATGCTACTGAAGCGGAACCCAAGGGACAAATAATAACAGTAACAATAAAAAACCTCTCAAAGGATCTAGATACATCAAAACATGATGGATACATCAAATTAATCGTCTCGAATAATGCTTGAAATTATTTATTTGTTGAAACAATCAGAATTCTTAGACAGGTATGTGGAGAATATTCATAGCTCTGTAATACAAGATATCACTGTTTAGAGCTTGGTAAAGGAGAAAATGATAATTGAGTCACATATCCAGCAATAGTTAAAAGAGAATGTGGGTATTTTCAGCTTGCATTAATGTCACAAGATCAAGTCAGGTACCGCACTTTGATTGGCAACCTATATTCTTCTAAATATGCTGACATACAAACTCGGATTGCAAGGAGAAATAGTGTTTCATTAAAAGACATTAGGAAATCAAAAATCAGTAATACAGACTTGTGAATTTGAAACACAAAGTTGAACAAAGTATCTAAATCACCTACAAGGTCAGATAAAAACCATGAAAATTCTAAACCACCTTCGTTATGTTCACGAAAATAAAAGTTGGTACTTCGGAAAGTTCTGTCCCTTTAAACACCACTGTTGGATAAGCGGCTCACGAAAAGGTGTCTGTGTTCATATGGTTGTTAAATTTACAAGTTTAAAGAGTTTTCGAAAAGAAATGAAACAACTTTCCATCTACCCTAAAGTTTCATTGATTGTTCAATCTACGCAAATATACAATAAAAACTACTTTTGAACCAACAATAGACTGGATGGTTTGAACAAACCTGGGTACCGAGTTAAGATGATTCATCATATGAGGTGTGTTTTCTATTTGTGTAATCCCGGCGTAGTATATATTAGAACAAATAACAAAATAAACAAATATTTTGGATTATTTCTTGATTTTCTCAACAGATTTTTGGCAACGTTTAACTTATTTTTCAATGAGTGAGCTGAATCAAAGTCAAAATACTTGTTAGAATGTGTATCTTTTCGATAAACATCAATGTCAAGTGTCCTGTCATTGTTTCGTATGGCCCTGCAATTTAGGAAAGCTAGCGTTCTGAATTCTGTCCCTACTTCATAAGTAAATTTTATGGAATTGAAACGGCTGTTAAGATATTCAAAAAGATTTTCTAGATCTTGTTTTATGGTTATGAAAAAGATGTCATCAACCTCTACTATATTCTTGGTTTTAAATCATGTTGGCTAAATAGGTCTGATTCCACCTTGTATGGATTAGCTACAATAGGTAAGGCCAGTGAACCCATTGATACCCCACTGGTTTGACGATGAAGATTTCCTCGAAAAGTAAAAAAAGTTGAGGTCAAACATAATCTCAGTGCATCACAGATTTCAATGATGGAAACATGACAGACAAGCGATGAAGAAGTATCCAATTCTAATAAAGATCTAACAACTTGTACGCTTTTATTGATCAGAATATTTGTATACAGAGAAACAACATCAAAGTTAACCATTGTTTCATCAACTTCAATGGTTGTTCGTAATAATTTATGTTTCAAGTCCAAGTTGTCTTGTAATGGTTTAAAAATTTTGTGTTATTTGGTAAGGTTATATATCGGGGAATTTAAAAAATCTATAATTGGGTGAATCGGGAAATTATTATTATTATTATTTTTCCCTTCGGTTCCTAGTGGAACATACCGCTTCAGTAGCACGTCTCCATTTCACTCTCTTCTCTGCAATCTTTTGAACCTGGCTCCATGACGGCCCACAAGCTCTCATTTCATCCTCGCACAATCTCCTCCATGTCACCCTCACCTCAGACGCCAGACTCGTCATTTCCCATCTCGATCCCACTCGAGTACCTGGGGCGTGATATCTCCGAATGGTTTTCTCAGTGTATGCCCAATCCATCTCCACTTCCTTCCAATGCATATTTGTTGAGTGATAGGTTCTTGGTTGGTTCATTGACAGCCGGAGTTCCTTGTAGCTCATTCTCATTATTCTGGCCATCTGGTCTTCAGTAACCAACCAGCGTAGGCAGTTGTTGATGAGCATCTGTAGTTTGTTGGAAATGCTTTTCATGACGCGCCAAGTCTCTGAACCATATAGAAGCACTGACTTGACGTTGGTGTTGAAAATCTGGATGTTGTTCACGCTTTATGCTGAGTGCAGATCTCCATACTTGTTTCAGGAAGACTATAGAAGTGTGAAGCGGCATAACTTTTTGGTGCTAAATTAAGCCACAAGACATTACGCAGTTTCGACTTCAGATTGTGTAGTAATTTGTTAATCTGTAATTTTATATTGTTAAGTGTAAGCTTATGCTTGTAGTTTTCTATCATTTCATGAGATCCACTGGATAAGTGTTCTGTGACCTTTTGTTCATAGTCCGATACGTTTATGACAGTAGTCAGCTCTCATAATCCATATATTCTTATCATTTTTTTAAAGAGGGAAGTGCATGTCCCTCTTTTTTTGGTATGTTCATATTTGACTGTTTTTGATCAATAAGAACATGTAAAACTTTAAATCTAACTTCTTCTACGATATTTCTCCGGGTTAGTTTCAGTGCCGGTTCTAAAGATGGTACACCTTCGAGTATTGTTCATTGGTGGACGATTTAAATTAAAGTTTAGTCCTTTGGAAAATAGGGAATTTTCCTCATTTGTAAGGCCACATACTAATTTGAGATTAGATGATTTGCTACCTTGCATAACTTTCCGTTTATCAGAGTTCGGATTTAATGCAGTGAATTTTTCTATCTGCCTTAATTTGACTTTTTCGATATGATTATCCTGCCGTCATTTCATGAAGTCAGATAATACATCATGTAAACAAGAAAGTTTATGCCATCATCGAGGTTTTTCATACGATTCCGATATGACTCAAGTATTATTATGCTTTCATGCATTCTTTCCTGCAAAAATGTTTTTGTGGCAGATTTTGCAGCGATAAGTAAGTGATGAGATTTCAAAGGGATTTTAAGGGCCAAGTATTTGGGAATTATGTCAGAATTTAGACAGCAAACGTTGAAAATGCGATGGTTGAATCTAACTTTGAAACTTAATCCGATTAGAATTAAGTTTGAACGTATCCTGACTAATAACGGACTGGATGGTTTAAAAAAAACTTGGGCACCGAGTTAATATGATTCATCATATGAGGTGCGTTTTTACTTGTGTAAAATAAACAAATATTTTGTATTATTCCTAATAATAATAACAATATTCATACAAAATATTGTTTATTTTGTTATTGGTTTTAAAATACTAACCCCAGGATTACACAAGTAAAAATACACTTTATACGACGAATAAGAACTACCCGTTAACAATTATAGTCGAATCGAGACTGACATCCACTCAACTATCTTGTGCACATTCGTCTGATAGGCAGTGAGCCATACATATTGTGTGAAGCCTAATGATACTATCTGGCCGCCCAAATCTTGGTAGATGGAGTAGTGTTCGAACTCAAGACCCAATGGTTGAAAGTCAACTCCGTAAACCAATGAGCCACAACAATACTATGCTCAGACTGATAAAAATACATATCCATTTAAAAATAAACCCAAATAGAATTGACTTTCTAGGTATATTCAGATAGTTCAGAGTTAGTAGAAAAAATAAAAAAGTAGATATCAAGAAGTGGAAGCAGGTTAAAAGGATATTTACTATAACTTACCGAAAGATGGTTTTATTGACTTCACTGTTCACCAAGCGAGCATAAACACTAGCAGGACTACAAATACCTGGCCAAAAATGATGTACTGTAGGTTCGGTATCTTCTCCTTGAGTTACGATGCGTGATTGTGATTTTTCAGCAAAGTTAACAGCAAGTCGAGCGAATGTTGTAATATAAGCAATAGATGCTTGACGAATTCGTAATGATGGATGTGTAGTTAAGGCGAGTGCACGTGTTAGAAATGATACAGCAATAGGAGCGCTAAGTAATCGCCTGCGCAAAAGATTAATCAAACACTTAAGGCATTCTTCAATCACCATATCATCTGGATCTATAAGACCTTGTTCAAGTAATGATCGAAGGATGGTAACTGATTGAGCTCCAATCAATAAAGCCAACGGAGAAACTTCGCGAAAAAATGCTGCCCTCAATTCAGGCTTAACCTATTAAGATAAATACATTTAATAACCTATGCAAAATCACGATTCCAAGAAACTTGAAAATGTGCCATAAAAATTAAGATAAACATGAAAAATCTTCCATGATTACATCGCTAAAATAATTTCATTCCTCTTGAGGTAAAATCTGTACAATTTGTTGAAAAATATTGATTAACAATAGCAGCTGAAATGAGATTATCAATCGTACTACAAAAACCCTGGATTCACCATATAAAACTTTAGAAAAGACATCGACCAATGCTATAAATAGTGGATACTCATTCTTTCCATGTTTACTTCAGAAACTTAATCGTCAAACGTAACGCAGAGTGTCATTTCAACAGCGAACGCTGTCAGCAGCGTATACTGCTACAGAGTGTTACTTGGATAAAATAGATTTCCGCAACTGTTTGTTCTGAGCGTTTTGTTTCTAAAATGATTTCAGTCCGCGTAACAGAATAAAATTTCTTGACGTTTAGCTGGTAGTAAGGTACCCGGATCGATGGATCCCTGTCGACAGCCTGGAAGCATGGAAAACCAGATGGTGTACACAGTAAACTATCACCTAAACTAGTCAGTCAGTCGATAAAAAATAGGACTCGTTATCAACAAGTAACAGCTCAATTAGCCAAACTTCAAACATGCATATAAAGGTATGAGGCGATAAAATGAAAGACAAGGTAATCGAAAAAGTATAAACAAAAGCCACAGAGAGCAAAAGGACAAAGAGAAGAGGCGTACAAGTAAACAAAAAAATGTGATGTAATGGTTAAGATGAAAATAAGGCATGGATGCATCTGCACAACTGCAACTGATTCCGAGCCACATCATCTAGAGTTTCTAACCGTCAATTTCAGTTACCACTTGGACCTCAGCTATAAACTGTATATTTCCCTACACTGCTTAAACCAATAGTTAAAAAACTGAGCGAAATGATGCTGTTTTTATTATAACTACCTTTAAATTTTTTAATCCAACCATACTTTCGTTCAAATTAAGTCATAAAGAAGATGGCGAATAGGCATACGTAAGACATATACCCAGTCATCTGAGTTGGTGGTTTAAAACGTCATATTGTTCGTTTGATGGTCTAACGACAATGGAGTAAACCTACAAGGTCAAAGGTTGCAGAACACCTGAACCCTTTACGTATCTCCCACCTTCAATGACTGTTTTACAGTCATAGAACTTCTATGAAGTACGCTCAACCCTTAGGAGGCAACCGGATTTGGTCATCACTATCCATATGAAGGTACAACTAGAATGAAAACAGCACTTTGATTATTTTTAATGACTGCAGCTTCGAATCAATGAAACTCAAACCAGTACACGTTTAGGAATCAATGTATGAGCCGAAAATCATTAGATGACAGGTTATGAGATTACCCGGTTACCCAGAAGGAAGTATGACACTCATAGAACGTAAATTTCGGTGGTTTGATGACACTGAAAAATAAGTGTGCGTTCTAGAAAGAGGGAAAACATTTTCTCGAGTAAATTAAAGCCATACTGGTAATCAAAGATAGTGGTAATAATATGCTAGGTGAGATAATGCTTTATGAAATCAAGACTGAACATGAAGAGAAAATTAATGAATGAAGTAGTTCGTTACTAACTTCTATGAGCAATCGCAACTATGATGTAAACCCAAATATTAAAAAAAGGTAACACCCACTTGTTTTAAATGAATGAATATATATATAGTTCTTTATATAGGTTTTCATCGTTTCAATCGTTCACTTGAGAAACTGAAAACATTTAGTTGTTACTTCCATTTTCGTCTATTTATTAGAACTGTCATACAGTGAAATAGTATCATTTACTAGATAACATTTAGAACATAGTTCGTTGTCCATATAGATACCAAGACAGGCTCTTGTGCCCTAGTGGCTAACGCTTTGGCGTTTGAAGCGATGAATACATGGTTCGAGCCTCAGCGTGAAAATGACCACTCACTAGGGTGTAAGTGGGTCCAGGTGACGAGTGCCAAATAGGACAAAATGTGCGTCCTAGATTCAACTGCTAGCCACCAAACAGACTAAAAACGTTGTCCAGTGAATAATACTGTTTCACATTGTTTAAAAAGCCTGAGAAACAGACTACAAGGGGAATTGCAATCTACCACAGTCCCCATGTTCCACTCCAACATTTATCAACAAGTTCGATATGAATTAGATATGATAAGATTGTACGCTCCATATTAATGGGTGGTGTGAGTAGCCTACAACTACTCACACTGGTGAGCAGTTTTCGCTAAAGACATTGCAGCGATCAAAACACTGAAAAGCCGTTTAGATCATTGGATTAAGTCTTTTTTACCAACCGAGCAGGCGAAGAACATAAACATGCAGTTATGTCGCAATCATCTTAGCTAAATATAAGTTCACAAATGATTTGTACTACTATGTAAAAAATATGGACGAATTTAAATGCCACCCTGTCAACTGCTGTAATAACAAATCAGTTTTCGGTATTGCGGCTACAGTGGTAGTCTTTCATAGAATTTAGAAGCCTGATTGGTTATCCCAACAATATCTCTATTCTATGAAAAATTGTCTTTCGAATAAAAGTACCGCAACATGATTGGTTATTTTGCCAGTTGTTAGGCTGGGCTTTAAAGTCTCACAAAAAAACACCGTTATTTTTTGATTGAACATTATCGATGCAATGTGAACTGTTTAGGCTGATGAAAAACGTTAGATAATCAAAACACCAACCAAGAGTAGAAAACACGTTTACATACACAAACAGAGAAAAATAAAACAATAAAAATATATATAGGCCTTACCTTATCATTCAGATATGTGATCATATGAGACAACAGTGTTCCATTTGTACGTGAACGACCAAAAAATGATGCCAGAGATGATAGACTGTTGGTATTCATTAAAGCAAGACGAACATTTGGATCTGTGTCGGAAAATAGAGCAACTAATCGCTCTTGTATACATGATTTCAATAAAGATAGATAAGTATCTAAAGTTTTATGATCACTTTGATAGTCGTGTATAAAATCAGGCGACTTGTAGATTCGAGAAAAATGTTTTTGTTTTCAAAGAATTAAAAGAAAAATACAAGATAATATGTTGTTATTTTCATTATTATTATTTACCTGTTAGTTTTAAGTTGGAATGAAGTGATAATTAATATACAACTTGATAGGGGCTTGGACATACCTTCAAATGCTTTTTAGTTTACCGTGATAAAATGAGAAAGAATTTACACTTGGTACTTTTGTTTTTATCAGGTGAAATCAGAAATTTATCAGCTGGCTAGTAGAGGTGTGTGTGTGTATATGTGTGGTGAAGAAACTTAACGGAAAACTGCACTAATCGCCTGATTTAATAATTAGTCGCTTTATCGCTGTAATAACTCACCTCAGATACCTGATAAACAATCAGTGATAACAATAACTAGTTGAAACAGTAGTTTAGGCAAACATAAAAAGACACATATTATCCTTTGAATCAATGATTAAACGAGATCAGTAGTTATCAGCACCATTAACTGCCAATGAAGTCAGTAGTTGACTCCTGTAAATAAGTTGGCAAAGCAGTAGACAAGCTATCCATAGGCTGTTGATTCAAAAATTAAACCTCTAACCAGGTTCGCTTTTCGTTTTAGATTCAGAAGGCCCATTTGGCATTCGTCAATGTGTGTCATCTGCGACCAAAACTGGCCAGATGTCCCATTACCTATCAAACGACGAACATACTCCACTGCAGTCCATTATATCCAGTTACACGGCTGAGACATGGTCGTTAAAAGTACATGTGAAGAGATTACTAAGTCTCAACCACAAATATATTCGTAGCATTGATAGCGTTTGGTGGAATCATAGTGTGAGCAATGTTGATGTCAGGAGAAGGGTACCAGGGAAGACAGGCAAGTCGATTGATGAGGTTGTGAACCTTCATCAACTGAGATCGCTTAGACATAAATTGCACATGTCAAGCAGCTTCTAACTAGATGCGTCATGCTAGAGAATGTTGGGTTAGGTTCGAAGAGAGTTCAGGGTGGCCAGATTAAGATGTCGCCACAGTCCATGAAGTTCCTTATTCTTCCAATCAATGATTAAACAAGATCAGCAGCTATCAGCACATTTAACTGTTAATGTAGTCAGCAGTTAACTCCTGTAAACAAGTTGGCAAACCAGTAGACAAGTTATCCATAGACTGTTGATTCAAAAATCAAACCTCTAACTGGGTTCACTTTCCGTTTCAGACATGACTGTTTCCATTCAGCAGGTAACTGTCAATTTTTAGTTGGCTGACATTAGGTTGGAAGGAAGTTCAGGGTGGCCAGATCAAGATGTGGCACCAGTCGATAAAGCTGTTGACCGTTGGTCTGAACCTTGTAGGAAGATGCAGACTACCGGGCTGGGGTCCCAAGACGAAACGGATCAGTCGTTGACAACTCTTCGTGACATGGCTGAAAGTCGATCACAATGGTGCAGATATATTCAATCATTGACGTCTTTTAAAGCTTGAATATTTGTACTAACCTTTTTCTTCAAATTGTTTGTTGTCTAATACAACTTTGTCCACTTTGATATCACTCTTCTTCTGTCGACTTGTTCTCTTTATACTGCTGGGAAGTGTGGTAATTTAAATCGATGCTCTTGTGTGCGAGGTTCTACGTTCATTCTATCTACCTGTCTATCTTCCATGAGTTCACGCAGTACCCAAAAAGATTAAGTTCTAGAAAACACAACTTCCATATATCACTGTCTATGAATGTTCTGATTAAATTATAAAATTGAATCATGTAACAGGGAAATACAGAAATAGGCAGTTCAGAAGATAGAAAGCTACACCTATTGTACGAGAAACAACGATACTGACAGAATGTTCAGTTAAATGGGCGAAACGCGTTTTCGTATAAAAAAATTCGAATTTGAATGCTTAGTCCGCTGAATCATAGAGTAAGTCATTGAACACTAATGTAAGAAAGTTTAAAAGATGATCTCGTGAACTTCGGGGTTTTGAAAGTACATATACAACCACCTTTTAAAGAAAATTAGCGTAGAAAATTCTATCCAAATTTCACTTACTGAATATTTCTAGTCTATTTGTACCTAAACACTCTACTTGATTTTTTTTAGATAGATAGCTGGAGACTTTCAAATGGAAAATATAAGCAACCAACTTGATGATAAGCGCCCGAAAGCATTCCGACTGATAGCTGTTATCCTAACACGAAAGTCACCCTTGCTCATTCCAGTGATCTAAAGAGCTTTGCTAGTTGAAATGATTGTTCCTAGAGCAATTACCATGTCGTAAATGTTTGGTCTATATGAGTAATACTCAGATCGGTTACCAGCTTAGTGAGAATAGTTTACTCCATCAAATCTATTTTTGAGCTGTTGATGGATAGGCACTTGTCGAAACACAATAGCAATGATCATTCAGATCAAGCCTCGTTCAATATTCAATTCCTATACATAAATAGTGATAAATTAAACTTAAAGATGATCAAAGTCACTCCAGGACTGCAATCTCATCTGAGTTAACCAATGCGCACATACTCACTCCAACCGGCTTCAACCACAACGATAAACGAAGCTGCTTCGATGTAAATCGACTAGGAGTCTTTGCAATGATCACGAGTAGTGGTGAATGGAGAAAGCCAAAAAGATGAAGAAGAAATCAGTATTATGAAATATTTAAAAATTGTTTCGACTTATTAAGGGAACTGACAGGAAGAAGAAGATTGCCAATAACAGTATTATCAAAACGATGGGGTAAGTGGCGACCTCTCACGACAGGTGATTCGAACAGTGAACGCTATGAAGAAAAGTTCAACCAGCCTATAACCACGCTTCAAAATCCCAATAGTGCAGATTTAGATCTTCCAAATCACCTCGGAGTTGAGAAGGCTGTTTCAGATTTAAAACAATGCAAAGCAGTAGGAGTTAACAATTCACAATCAGAGGTTCCATACACATAGGTAAAAAAACTACTAGCTAGAGTAAGGAAGATACTCTGGAGAAAGCTACTTTTACGAATGTATATCACTTGTATGCAGTGTAACATCGAGAAAGATAAGAAGAGGTGATGATCAACTAGAGAAAACGTAGGAGGGAATAAATGCAATGCCAGGTCCAAACACTCGACACCGAGATGTCAAAAAAGGAAAATGATTGCTTATGTAACTTGATTGTAAGGCTTAGTATTATTATCACTACAAATCATAACTTTCCAATGCACTAACTCTGCTGTTCTACCAGACTTTTCCTCAACTAAGCTGTTAACATTTCCTGGATCTCTCTTACAACTTTAGGCCGTAGATGAGATCGAACTCAACAACTGCAAAAAGTCATCACTGACTGATTCGCTACCTGGATTTCAAGTATTACCTTGTCACTACATCCATAGAGGTTTTTACCTGCAGTAAATAACCCTTCTTGGTTCCTAAGCAACTCTGTGACAATGGGTACGCTTATGTGAGGGTCCTGAGTTCCTCTACCTCTGCTAACTCAATTTTTTTATACACATTGGACGACCATACTTCGCAGTTACCCTCCAACTTTTCGCTTTTATCACGACAACTACTTCTCTCAAAAAAAGAACGTAGAATAACTCATTGTAAGTGGTGAAAATAAACAGAAGCTTAACTTTATGACACCTGAACCTCTTGATACAGTCTGATACGCTCATCGTTTGAACCATCAATGCAAATGATAACGGACTTTGAGATTTCATTTTACCTATTAAGGAAGGATATAGTTTATCCATTGTCAACTAAGCACAGAACTTCATAATCATTTACCCAAGGAAAGTTATCTCCCCTCCTGGAGATCGTTTACTTACTTCTCCCACAGGTTTAATTTTAGTGTCTTCACTGCAACCACTGTACTACTCACTAACTGTCCGTTTACTTCTAACAACTGATTAACATTCATGAACTGGGCTGCATTGAAGATGGGACCGCTAGTAGATTGTTTTTAGAACACTTTCAATAAAGTGCGACACCAACAACTCCGTCTAGGAGTCCTCATTCGACGTAAGGAGCGCTCGATATAAGAGATTGTTTAACATCAGTGCTGACACCAACTTTGTACTTCAGAACTGATAGATTTTTTATTATCTATCCACCAAGCTGTCCAACTCTGTCACCAGACATCCAATCACGATATCCCAGACAATCTTTTCGTACACAGTCTTTACGTTATCATATGATGCCTCAGTTTGACTTTGTACTGATGTCCGCAACACTGCCGTCCTCACCTTTGGGTCCAAAACACTCACTAACCCCGCTAGAACTTTGAAGTTTCACAAGAAGCTCTCGGATGTGACCGTTCTCGAACACTACAACCCATGGTATTCTTATCTGATCTGGAGGCAGCGACAATAATCCAAGAGGATTTCGATTAAAAAACAAATTTGGTGTATTGGAAAATTATAATCTTTAGTGATAATAATACTAAGTCTTACAATCAAGTTACATGTGCAGGCATTCTACTTTTTGTCATCGTAGTGAGGAGCGTTTGGATTCGATATTGGATTTATTCCCTCATAAATCTTCACCAGTCAGTTATTACCGATATTACACTATACACTAGTGGTCTACATTCTTATAAGTAGCGTTCACTACAATACTAGCTAGTGTAAGAGAATCAGAGGCAGTTCTGTTAGACTGATCTAGACAACTGATTATATCAGTTCATAAGCAAAAAGAGATGTCTTTCCAGAAGAAACTCAGGAGAATCAGCTTGACAAAAATTATATATTGAATCCTAAGGTGAATATTTATTCTACCCCTACACTGACCTCGAAAACAAGGTAGATTTCAAACCTAGAAGAGGACGTATAGTTCAGATTTTCACTCTTTTACCGGTTTTGAAACACACAAATGCTTACTGGTGCTTGACATTTGAGATATATCTTAACTTAAAGGTACATTCAAATCCATTTCAATATGTGACTGTCAATAGAGTACCGAATAAGTATACCATGTTGATCAAGGATTTCTATTCAAATACACGCCTTTAACAAATCTATTCTATGAGATCACACATAGACCAAGTCTTTGATAGAGTGAAAAGAGTTAAGCTATTTTTCTTTCTCAATATCAGTAATATTTCTGCTTCTTTTCAATTCGACAGAAAAGTGTTTACCATGATCAGTAGTTTTGAGTTGTACGCCACTAATATGTCTTGGAATAACAAGAATGCTTGCAGTGATGGATTTCAGTGAACCTCATTACATCAAAAATGATGAATATCGAACAGATATAGTGCAATTAATGAATACATCCTTGCAGAACCTTAAGTTCCACATAAGTAATTATGTAACTAATAAATATGATGACTTATCACATTTCTTGTATGACTATTATTTTTATTACTTGTCCTTTGGGTTCTTAGTGGAACACAGGGCTTCAGTAGTATGTCACCATTTCACTCTCTTCTCTGCAGTCTTTTCAACCTGGCTTCACGACTGCCCAGAAGCTTTTGTTTCCTCCTCACACGATCTCCTCCATGTCACCCTCGGACCCTCGACTTGTCGTTTCCAATTTGGGTTCCACTCGACAGCCTGGCACGTTTTTCTTGTATGATACACTACTGATATACAATGTTAGTAAGCGGCCCAAATACTATAGACTTCATTATTATGTCTTTTGAAAATTATACAGTTCATATTTCATAATAAATTGCGGAGGATGAACACAAGTGTAATGGAATACAAAAATTTGCATATCGATCACAAGTGAATATCATATGTGCTCAATCAAAAACTCTTAACAGAGTTAAAGTGATTACTCCCTACAAAGTAGAAAAAAGATCACACTCAAAGTAGAAATTAAAAAACTAGCGTAGCTATGTGATGATTAATACAGCTATCTAAAAAGCGAGATGAATAGGACAGCGAAAACTAAGATCTCTAGGATGAATAAGGTTCAACCAATCGGAAATGAGTATACCTCTGCTCTGATAACATAACGTAGAGGAGTTTCTGGGAAGTCATTGTTTAGATAAAGGTAGAATTTGAGCCTCAAAGAGCTTTATAATCTAGTTTATCACAGTTGACGAATTCAAAAAAAAACGTTTTTCTTCGAAGTTAGTCATCTCTGAATATTTTATGAACCTATTCTGCCATCATTCACATTAATTACTAACAAAATAAAAAGCTAATCAGCATAAACATGGGACCTGGCATTATTGTGCAACGATCCCTGTTACTAAATCTCATATCCACATTGAGGTAGATCATATCAAGATGAAAGAGAAATACGGAAGAAAGTAGAAATGCGTTCATTAACCTTGTGCACATTCGTGCAGTAAGCAATGAGCCACACCAATTGTATGAGGGCCACCTAAATTATCTCAGACAAGGTGGACCCATTACTCATTGGTTGAAAGTCAGCTGCCTAAACCAATGCACCATAACAACACAAGGAACAAAGCAATGAAACTCATGCAGAGTTGTGAAAAGACAACACAAAGCAACAAAATGATGCTGAAATTCGATATGACGATTAAGACGAAGATAATGGACACATCCATATAAATCAATGACTTCAACTTCCTGATATAAGTGTAAAGCATGGGCACTGTGGCGGAATTCAAGATGCCTCTAGGATTCTGCTTACTATTCATAAGTTTGCTGACTACTTGATTTACACATTCTAAGAATTGTTGTTTCAGGTGGTGTGGGAGATCTTGACTAGAAAATATAGAGAAGCCTTACGTAAACTCCGAATAAACGAGAATCTACTGGTCACTGGGCCCGATAAAGGTTCAAGGGTGGTTATTATAAACAAAGTGGAATACCTGGATAAAACGAACAGCCTTCTTAGTGATTACAGTAAATTTCAGAAACTATCAACCAATACGGACATGACAGAGAAGACTAAGAGGCAATTATCTGAATCCTTAAAGAAGCTGAAACAGCAAGGCTTCATTTCACAAAGTGTGTGTGAAACACTCAGACCTACTGGCACAGTAACACAGGTTATATGGTTTACCAAGAGTTTACCAAGAACAGATTACCACTCCGACCAATTCTTGACATGTCAAACTCTCCGTATCATGCGGCAGCGAAATGGCTAGTACAACTCTTGCAACCATTGTATTAGGAGGTTGTAAAGCACAGCGTCAAAGATAATTTTCACTTTATTGATAAGATCATCATCATCATCATCATCATTATCAACATAGGACCAGGCATTACTGCGTAACGGTCCGAGTTGCCACACCTCATATCAGCACATCAAGTAAAAAGGTAGTGAGGTGAAGGATGAAGATAAGTGAATGCAGTCAAAAGAAATATAAAGTATGAGAAGAAAGGAAAGAGGAGTGACAAAATAGTGAGATTCGGTATAGCGTTGTTAAGATGAGGATAATGTGTGTATACATCTGCGCCACTGACTTCGGTTCTGAGCCATATCACCTAGGGTCTCCAACCACTGGTTCCTCTTGTCCCGTGGACCCCAACCACCTAGTCTGCATCGTCCTACATGGCTTAAACCAACAGTCAGAGACTTCATACATTGGTGCCATGTTTTAGTCTGGCCACCTCGGGCCGTTTTCCAGCCTGGACCCACCTCAGCCAACATTGAGGTGGACATTCGTGAATAGGGATGATACGTCTAAGGATATCATACACTTATTATTCACATTCAAATCTCTTATCTTATTGATAAGATAAGAGATTTGAATGTGAATAATAAGTGTATGATATCCTTAGACGTATCATCCCTATTCACGAATGTCCTTCTGATGGAAACAGTGGGCTTCATATGTAGCGAACTGGAAAAGAGGAATATAGAAATTGGAATTATGGCATCCACCTTGAAAGAGCTTCTCTCATGATGTACAATGAATGTACACTTTCTCTTCAATAAGAAATTCTATAGACAGTCAGACGGTGTCACTATGGGGTCACCACTAGGCCCAATCTTAGCAAATGTTTTCTTAGCGGAATTAGAAAATGGCTCTCTGGAAAGTATCATAAGCGGGTTGGAATTGTACTGCCGTTATGTAGGTGATACATTCTTGATTGTGAATAACGAGAACGGTGCAAGGATTATACTAGATAAATTCAATAGCGTCTATCCAGTTATAACCTTCACCATTGAGACAGAAAGTGACGACAGAATCACCTTCTTAGATGTTTGATTGACAAGGAAGGTGGATGGAAAAGTAAAAAGAAGTGTATATCGGAAACCAACGTCAACAGATCAATACACCCACTTCTTGAGTTTCGTCCCCTTGCAATATAAGCGAAATCTAGTTAAATGTTTGGTGCATCGGGCTAGACTCATCTGTTCAGATGATACTTTTGACGAAGAGCTTCAAATTATCCATGATCTACTACTTAGTAGTAATGGATATCCAAAAACGTTTCTGGCTAAAAATATGGACACGTCCAGTATGAAAACCAGAATACCTACAGTCTCCAAGAAACCATTGTTCCTAAGACTACAATTTCGAGGTGAAATCATCAGCGAAAATGTGATACAGCGCTTAAGAAATGCTATAAGAAGATCATTTATTGCCGCAAAGTTATGCTGTGCATTTTACAGTCGGCCAATGATGACCCTGCGAACTAAAGATAGACTACCTGACTTCTCCTCTTCTATGTGCATTTACCAGTCCAACTGCTCCTGTGGAGCTAGTTACGTTGGACGTACGGTTAGGCAAGTCCGTCGTCGAATCTCCGAGCATCATCCTTCAGAGCTAAGTAAGGGGCAAATCAGATCGATACGAAGCTTAATACTCTCGCATCGGCCACCGAGTTAACATTCATAACGCCTATAAAGTTATCTATCACATTCCTTACCTCACCCATGCACTACTGGTTCGTCTTTTACATGCAGCAGAACCCATCGGAATCCATCTGAACAAATTGTGTATGTGTGTTAGGAAGAAATTCGTACAGCCTCTTTCTTTGCCTTGGCCATCTGTGTAGCTTATTTATTACAGTAAGACCCTTCATTTCGTTCATCCCACAACTGATTATAACTAATATTTTAATAGCTCTATTATTATTATTATTATTGTCATTATTATTATTGTTATTATTATTATTATTAATAATAATACAGCCGTAGCCATCTTCTCCCCCTAGTATCTCTGATTAACGTCAGCAATTTACCACTTTACGTAACAGTTCATTTTCGCTCTTTAGCTACCATGATACAAAATATCAATTATGTAAGAAACTGTTTAAAATTTTCACAAAATCCTTTTACTATAAATAATCTATCCTTTAGTTAATTGTCTTAATTACCTGATCAATTATCACCTTCTTGATACTTTGGGATTGATAACTTTTCACTAAACAACTCTCGCTACTAGATTAGTGTGCAATTTTACGTTTTGAAAATGTTATATTAGAGTAGAGCCATTGATGAGGAACTAATTGAAAAGAAATGTTTCTTCGATCACATTGTTTGTTTTACTAAATGTCAAAATGGGAATTTTCGCACTACTGAGTCTTTGTTCATCGAATGAACACCCACCCAATACATGTAATAGAAATGATGTAACATCGATACCAGAGATATGGAAAATTCTACTACCATTAGAAACAAAGAATAAGAAGCGGCTATAAAAATCAGATGTGGAAAGTGCTGTGTGATTACATTGATGAGTGATAATAATTTATAGTCGAAACGTCATTAAATAAATCATACTATATCACTGTTTACCATAAATCCAAGAAATATATTTAGAGGGATATCAACTCCTGGTAGAGTCTCCAAATATCAGTTTTGGTTGTCACATTCAGGTTAACTAAGTAGCTTACATTTCCCTACATGGGTCAGAACAACAGACAGGCACTTCCTACAGTGACGCCGTGTTTTAGTTTAAGCATCTTTAACGTTTTTGTAGTCTAAACAAACAAAAAAGAACATGAAACTATAAAAGAGAATATGATGGATATTTAACGAATACACCAAATTTGATGAACTCACTTTGTACTTTATATCTTTAGACTCCACACGCATTTTCGATATAAAATTCATAAACCTAATAAATCAAAAAAAACCCAGCAGGAATCAAGTGATATAGCATTCAACTATTAACCTATAGTGCTACATGATAATGGTTGCCACTGGCATCAAAGATGTACATTACTCGTTTTAAATTTTTCAATTTAGTGTACCTAAAACTAAGACTTTTGGAAATCCCACTAAATTTAGAACTTATAACCCATCCCTACCAACGACAGACCAATCAGCGCGAAGTTACCAAGTTGCAAGGCCCATCACTCATCAAAAAAGGTATTTCGTATCACTTATAGCAGAAATTTATGGTTATTGATTTGAAGACTGAATTATTCTGCTTGTGAATACTGTATCGCATCATTAGTTGCCGTCATATAGTATGATGCAGTCAAAGCGATTACCAAGATATTGATATACGGAACTAGGAAACAATATGAATTGAAAAATTAGGCCAAAAGAGTTCTTCCCCAGCAACCACTTGGATGTCCACACACTGAATAATGCGTGACGGCAATTGTGTGAGGAATCATGACACTACCTGGCTGCCAAACGCTCAGTATTTGTAGTCTGGTTCGAACCCGTAATCCATTCATTGAACGTCAACAGTTCAGATCAGTGAGCGACAGTTCGATCCTGAGAAATGACACTGTTATACTCCACTCATCAACAGAATATGATCACCGTATGTTCATGCAGAAAAGGGAAAAATTTCCACTTCGTGTGACATTATACAAGCTTGAAACCTAGCCAAACGTTTGTTATCATTGTTTCTGATTGACCCGAGAAGTATTTTAAGGTCAGTGACTGTCGAAAATTACGTGTTAGTTGTTAGGAAAGAACCTTCCAAGGTCATTGGGTTCAAAATCGATTGCGATTGGATAGTTGTAGTTATACTTTATCATTCTCATCCATTTGTTCACTTCTCAATCATATTTAACATAGGTATTGACACCTACCCTTTTGTGGTCACTTATTTTCTTACGAAATGTAATACCATTAATCATTGCACTTTTTTGCTAGATGTTGTGTTGATTCGTAAGTTTGCTTATTTATCAATAATTCGGAAAGAGACAACCAGTGGAAGTGATTAGTTTGACGCTCTATTATCGATCATCTGTTTCACAGTTAAAAATATTACGAATTAAGCATAACTTATTTCGTCAAATGGTACAAAACGCGGACAGCATGCTCTTTATGTTCACTTTTTGGAAAAATCAACTGGAAATTGTATAGTTAAATAAATTACTTATCAAACTGGTGCACAGAATTAAATACGCCTATAAAGTCAACTGGATCAAAGGTTCCATGAAACCACACCCAAACTATAGATAGAAGTTTTCAATGTCCACATCCTTATTCGAATCAAACAAACTTGGCCAATCAAAACTCTTACATCTCGGGTTATGGGTATGTACCGTACTTCTGAGACATATAAGTTATCCTTGACAGAGAGCTGCAGCAGATGACACTGAAATTCCCCCCCGGTCCCCAGATATTTAAAGATGATGGACTAGGATTAATTATTACACTAACTGAGGCGATAAGGTGACCTATAGAGATCTTAACATACTTATCGCAATGCTTCCTCACAAAAATGGGTGCTTGAGAAATATATCACACTTCTAAATGCTTTATACTAGAATATCCGTGATTTTTTTTGTCTAATGATCTTACACTCGGTGATATCCTTCTGATGCGTCCATTTCCTTAACTTTTATTTACTGGAGCTATGGATGTTTATCTGAAAGTCCCTTCCTTGTCTGTTTTTATCAAGATTAATGTCGGCGCAAAAGACTACTTAGTAGACCTAGAGCACACAGATGACATAGACATGTTAGGTGAAGGCTGTGGTAAGATACAGTCCTCTGAACACTTTGAATACCATTTGAGAATGTTTGGGATGCTTTTCTCACCACTCAAATGTAAACTGTTGCTCGAGGACTGGCCATCGCCGGTGTATTGTTTAACAGTAGAGACTGAAGAAGCTGAGTGTGCTGACCACTCCACTTACTTTGAAAATGAGATCAGTCCCAGTGGGTCATCAACAGACGAAATATTTCCACGGGTACTTGAAGTTCGAATGGGTTTAGACAATTTATGCAGTTTAAGTCACCGATATGATATCCGAATGCCTATTAAGGGCTGAGTGTATTCTGCGTTAAGTCTTTCTGTCCCACTATTTGGCGGTAAAATGTCTGTTTAGGGTTGAAAGATATGAGAAAACTCCCAGTATTTGACTGTCATTTCTTCGTGGCACCGACCAACGTGTTGTGAAACTAGGACGCTCGTATTGTTAAAAATAGACATCAGGTCCTAGGTGAAAGAGATGAGAACCTTCATCAACTCAAATAGACAGTACACATCTACTGAGAATTGCAGCGTTAGCTAAATTACGGTTAGACATGAGAACATGTCAAAGTCGAACTCAAACGTGGCTCTAATCAATGAAATCTATGACCGCTGGTCTCAATCAGGTAATCTCCATACTTAATGAACATTGGTAAAAACTATCTGTGCTACAGGTTAGCTTTGATAGAGTGACAGAAAGTAGTTCACTTAGGTGGACTTTCGATTAGCATTGATCAGTTAGTAATCAACAAGGTTAAGACATCATAAAAGAGATGTTCCTCTAATTATCTTCCACCTACATCTTCTGTAGAATCGGCAAAACTTGTTGATATATTTTAGGTGATATGCAAACAATGATGCAGTGCTTTGAGTTTTACTATCCAGATGAGAAATGCAGCGGTTAAAAATAGACGAATGAAAGCTATAAGTTTTTAAATTACTGTTTTCTTCAAAGGAATTGTGTGTGTTAAAACTATCACCTGAGAACGTTCAAGTTTGATATGAATATCTGGGTTAAAGCAATAAGTTAAGACGGTAGTAAACCAACAACAAATGAAACTCCTCGAATATTCACAGCAAATGCTGGGCTACTGTCTGCATCGAATAAAGAGTTTGACGATGTTTAGACTAAGACGGTGACAATCTATGAGGTTATTAAGTGCGAAAATCACCATACGATTTTAAACAATAGTATGGATCATTAATTCTAGGCATTAAAATATCATTAATATAGGAGTAAAACTTGGGCACTGTGGTCAATTGTAATTCCATTTTAGTATGTTGATTAGAAATGTCACATACAGTGAATGAATAGTATCATTTACTGGATTACGTCGTTTTGAACACAAGTTATTGTCCATATTTATATCACGTAACTCCATAGCTTCGAGACAGAGTTTATATAGTCCTAATTTCCTCTCCTTCTCTGTAATGACAAGAACAGTAGCTTGTTGCCAAGTCAGCTTCTTGTAAATTAAAAGATCCTTTTGATACAATTCAGCAAAATAATCTAGTTTACCAAATCTCTTACAATGATTGAGAGGTCAAATACATAGGTCAAAGTAGTCGACCAGGGTCGATTAGAATAACAGAACACAACAACTTGGCTAAATCAAGATTAGTAGATAAGACAGAAAAAAGCTCGGCTATAGCTTTTTACGCAATTACACACAATCACACAGTAGAATGGGATAGAGCGACAGCGTTAAAAGTTTAGTTGGGTGGGTGGAGGGAGAGATTGATAACCGAATCTTTGGGACAAGGCATACAAGTGAACAATATTGTTTTCAATTAGATCCTCTTCAGGCTTTACTCTAATACAAATAGCTCAATATGTATATAAAATTAAACCAATCATGTAGACTTGTCGGTTAATATGATAAATGTTTAGAATAACGCTGATATAGATGATAATGATAACAGCCAAGAAAGCAGCATGAAAATGTATACTTACTGTATTTACCTAGGCTTTGTTTATCCACTTACCTCGCCATTCACCATTACGTAACCTTTATTCTCAAGTTGTTATTCACCGTAGACTGACATCAGTTGGAGGAACAAAGGAAACCCGGGAGCACTGGACAGCTGTTTCGTCCCAGTATGGGACTCTTTCGCAGTGCGCACCCACGACCTTTATTTTCACAAGCTTTGGACACATTTTGATTATCGAAATGCCTACATTTTGATGCTGCTTTCTTGGTTCTTATCATTATTATTATTTGTATTATTATCTCCATCGTATTCTAAACATTTATCATATCAACCGACGAGTCTACATGATTGGTTTAATTTTATATACATGTTAAGCTATTTGTATTAGAGTAAAGCCTGAAGAGGATCTAATCGAAAACAATATTGTTCGCTTATACGTCTTTTACTAATTTACATGATAGGAATTTTTAAAACTCTTAAACCGAATCTTCGTTTATCTAATCAACACCAAATACATGCAGTAATAGAAATGATCCTGCACCTATCCCAGATATATAGAAGATTCTACTACCCTTGTCATCACAGAGAAGGAGAGATAATTAATTAGGACTGTATAAATTCTGTCTCGAAGTTATGGAGTTAGTTACCTGATATGAAATATGGAAAATAAATTGTGTCCGAAACGTGATCCAGTAAATGATACTTTCCCACCTCTGTGTGTGACATTTCTAATAAATAGACTGAAATGGAATTAAAATATCACTGAGAATCTGTTGCAATGATGCAAAACCATTGATCAACTTTGCTGTAAGAAGTGGATATTACTGATATATATATATATATATATATATATATATATATATATATATATATATATATATGAACTGATTTACCATTAACAGGTTAAAATATAAAAAATTCTAATAAGAAACATTAGAACTAACTTACGTTAAAGAACATGTTGCCAGTGTAGGTAAACATCGAGCCAAAGTTAATCGTACTTCAGATTTTGGATCTGCACTAAGCGGTGACAAATTTGGAAAAAGATATTCCGTTAAAAATGTCTCCTCTAGGAATGATGTATACTCGGATATATTTTCACATTTCTTTGTAACTAATTTAAAAATATGCGTCAATGAATCAATAGCTAAACTTCGAACTTCACTAGAATGTGACATAGTTGTCAACTCCATACAATAGGGTATTACACGATCCATAAGTAGACTCGGTTGCATATATGATGCAATCTCTAGTAGGCATATCAATGCATTCACTTTACCCGTTTCACTTAAACGATTCGATTGTAATTGATGATATGTTGTAGAAGAATTCAAACTGGTCCGTATCATATTAAAAGGATCAACGTTGACTTTATTAACTTGTGATAAAACTGGTAGATCAGCAGCTGTAATTGGAGTTTGTGTAGTTTGACTATGCACTGTAGGTCGTAAAACACTGATAATTAGATTGCATAGAATAACTGAAACAGTGCTTAGATTTTCCAATCCTGAAGTAGTAACTTGTTGAAGGAAATCTGTCAAAGTACTAAAATAAAGCAAAATGCGACAAAGTTGTCAGGAAAATCGAGTAGTTAAGGGACAAATTTAACGATGAAATTAATGAAAAATGACTTTACGGTTAACCAATCAGTAAGTATCTACATAGCCAGTACGGATTGACAGTAGTTTCACTTGGAAACAAAATATTTACCAAATAAATATAAAAAGATGATAAGATGTCTGATTTCATTGTTAATGGGTACTTGTAGTTTCCCGTTCCCATACTTGGTCGAATTGTTCTACCTCTATTGGGAGATGGGCTGCTATGTAGATGCCTTGATACTACCTGAATATTCATTATACTGTAGTCTAATTGGAGGATATGCATTTCATTTTCATCGGCTGCATGTGTACCTGCACCTCAATGAGCGACGTTGTTCATACTGAGACTCAAACCCAATATGCATTGCTTCGTATGCCAAAGTGTAATCCACTAGGTCACTGCGGCATAAGATGTCCACCAATTCGACTCAGGATACAAACAGGAAGTTACAAGTACCGATAAGCAATAACTGATATGTTTCACAAAGGTAGTTCTCGTGCCCCTATGTCTAACTGAAAACGCTATGACGTTTGAAGAGATGAGTACTGGATTCAAGTCTCAGTGGAAACATCACTCCATGGAGTGCAGGTAAATCCAGCTGATCATTTTCAAATGAGACGAAACGCACATCCTGGATTCTACTGCCAGCCACCGACTACACTTAAATATGTCGAAATTTGGTTAAGCTATTCACGTATTTATAAAGCATAAAGTGAGAGAGATGATTTTTTTTACCCGAATGTTTGAGCATCTGTTATGAGATATATGTCTGAACAGGTTGAATGTAATTCAACACAGACTGCATGACATTTCCGATGTTGTATTCACCACTTACACGAATACTTATCGGCTTGACAGTACTATTTTCAAAATTTCGATCACTGTCAAAGAAATATATCATACTGGTCTAACACATACTTGGAATATTATTCTACCTGATGTATGAATAAGCAACTAATTCGATAAGATCTGGGTACGGTACTAATGAACTTGACACTAGACGAGTAAAAATGGCCACTTGGTGCTAAAATCACCGTGATCTGGTTAGTCAGCGCTGCTGATTGCTGTAGCCTACAGCTACTTATAACAATCAGTAGTGTATGGCTTTTGTGTCAAAATTCTCAATGTCATTTATAATGTCACTCAGATAATCTTTTGTGGTTTAAATATCTTGGTTTCAAACGGAAGCTATTGTGAGATTTCAAAATTAAATCTCACCTACTTCGATCATTATCATCACCGACTATGCAGTTCACAAACGCCTGGTTCAACTTCAGTGTAGTAGGAATCCATTTTTTCATCATGCTCAATATTACCAGACAAAATGAAAAATACTCCACATAAGATATACTGATATTTTTTTACACTAATTATTTACTTATTTAGAAAAAGACTAAGTGAGCGAAGAAATATATTCCTTAGGTCTTCGTCTTGGGCTCTACACTGACATATAGTTTTACTATTCAATCGAAATAGCAACCAAATGGTGAACAATAATCATAGATTTATTAAAATTAGAAATACAAAGCAAGTTATTCTTAGGTAAATGGAGTGATTTTTTGATGAGTATTCCATCATAAACAATAAGTGATTACGTAATAATAAGGAAACAAATGAATATTGATAGAAAAAAGAAGGTGAATAGGTGTACAAAGTAATACTAGAAGTTACACCATGTTGACGTCCAATGTGATGAAAGTGGTCAAACAAACTTCTTTTGAATACAAAGGTTACCGTGACCGTCAACATATTACTTTGTACACCTCTTTCCCATTTTGTTTCTATCAATACTCATTTGTTTCTTTACTATTATGTAAACACTTATTATCTATGACGGAACACTAGTCAAAAATCACTCCATTTACCTAAGAATAACCTATTTCATATTTCCAATTTTGAAGCAAAGGGCACGGAGTTCGAGTCCCAGTGGGAACAACATCACTCACTGGTCCCAAATAGGACGAAACACGTGTCCTGGATTATTCAGCTAGCCACAATTAAACAAATTATTTTAATAACTCTTGATTAATTTACATCTTTATTTCTAAAACATCATCTTCATGACTTAGTTAAAATCTCTATGATTATTGTTCACCAACCCCCTATCATTTTGATTGCTATTTCTAAACGTGTAAATGGGAATATTCAGTTTACTTATTTATTCAGGTTGTATACAGCTGATGAAAATCCTAAGAAATAAAATGATGATGAAATGCAAATGGTGTTCTCATTACATTATTACTGTTTCCTATAGCGACTGAATGCATAAAAACACTTTGTTATTGTATATAGTATGTATTAGAGAAAAGTCTACAGAGATGAGCTACTCTAAGAACATTTTTTGACACTCAATTCCGGAAACTAGGGAATAGATTTACTATTTTAATCAATATGAGAAAATGTTAACCATATTATATTTTAATAAAATGAAAATTATACATTTGTGAATGTAATTCAACTGCTTTTATAGATTATCTTGACAGTTCAATTACTGTTCACCGTCAATATATAAGAAAATATAAGCAAACCAGTTTTATGATTCTTTCAACTCACAATCTTAGAAATGATATTCTTGAATCAGGAGAATTCAATATTGGATTTAAAAAATTTCGAAGATATGGTGATAGATGTGTATAAAAGACATCGGGAAAAGTTTTACCCCGTTGCTGTTCCAAATGTTCTGTAGCTGTCCGACGATCTTCTTTCCCCAATGATAATAATGTAGAGATCAAAGACTAAAATGTTTTTATAGGAAAAAAATATAATCGTATAAAGCTGAATACCATAAGACTTCACTTATAGCAAAAAATAAAATAACCGAGTTAATCACAAAAATATGATCTTTTCTTTAATATCACCATATTACGTCATTTCAGTTTTTGATGACTTATTGACAGACATTGTACTATAAATGTATTCATTAGTCAAAGAACGAAACGAAACGCATTCAGCTACCTTGTGCATATCTGTACAGCAGGCAATGAGCCACAGCTGTTGTATGACAGCTGACCGAATCTCGACAGGTAGGGTATAGGGCCCGATGGTCGATAGTTACCCCCTTAAACTAGTGAACCGCAGCTTCATGCTTGTTGACAGGATAAAACTAACCCATCTTCCTATCAGAATTCGGCAAGTGTTGGATTGTGGATCCGCTAATAGGGAGGAACATCAGCTGGATTTAGACTATCGTGAAACAGGCCAGTTTTCACCTACTAATTGGTAAAAAACATTTTAAGTTGTTATTCATCGTAGACTGATATCAGTTGGAGGAACAAAGGGAACCTGGGAGCACTGGACAGCTGTACCGCCCTAGTATGGCACTTCTCAGCAGTGCGCACCCACGACCCCGCCAGGGATCGAACCCGCGACCTTCGGGTTTCTTGGCCAGTGAGGGGTGGGGGCAAAGTCTGATGGTCGTGACGACAGTTACTCAACGATGACATTGGGTGGTGGTTGCGCTATATCATGAGCTAACAGAAGTTGGAAATATGGACCATTAGATTCTGACCCAGTGGCTCAATGGTAACGTGCTGGCCACGGAACCCGAAGGTGTCGGGTTCGATCCCTGGCGAGGTCATGGGTGCGTGCTGCTGAGGAGTGTCATACTAGGACGAAACAGCTGTCCAGTGCTCCCAGGTTTCCTTTGCTCCCCCAACTGGTGTCAGTCTACGATGAATAACAACTTGAAATATTTCCAAATCCCCACAACTCCTTCAAAATTTAAAAACATTTTACTACCATTCATTGCAAATCTTAAACAACAGCTGACTACATTTTGTCTTTCAGTGAAATAGAAACAAAGTAGACTCACAAACAGTATAAAGTAGATCTGGTTAATCATCAGTCTTTAAAACAAAACTCGTTTAAGCGACTTTCCGATTAAAAGGTTGCTGTGACAACAGTTTATCTCACTGACACGAATTTTAAGTTAGTTCATGTTCAAACGACTTAAACTAAACACATATTCAAAGCTAGTTTTAGCGCCTTGATCGATTGCAAGAATATCATGGAATCTAGTGAAATGTTATGAGTACTATACTCAGTTAAATGAACATTATAAGTCATCAACACCAGTTGTTGGGTAGTTTATCTTCGAAACATCAGTAGCATTACTAATATGGAAATCAGCAGGCAACAGAATCTAAGTGGATGGTATATTTTAAGTGTGCTATGAATAAGACAAATACAGAAAAATAAACTGAATGCTCATACTTAATACCAAGAGGTTATTAACACTCAGCTAATCACAAAAAACAAAGTAGTTTATTCAAGTGCCTATGTAGATGCACCTAACCACTTCATTCACAAAAGCTGCGGATCCAAAAAATATTACTTTGTTCCCCATTATAGAAAATTCAAACGAGTTTCAAGTTGACAAACGTATCACTGATCATTTAGGTTTCAAGTGTTTATGCATGATATCATTCTGAGAGCGTTAAGTGTATCACTACCGGTAAGCAAATAATCAATAACAACACGGAAATCTGAAAAAAATTGATATTTGCTATCCATAACCAGGATATAAACAAATCAGAGGAGATACTGTAATAGACTTATAAACAGCCATAAATGATGACGGTTATGGATGAAAGTGTAGATACTTGGAAGCGATCAACAGGAAACCTTGGAAGATCATCTGCAACTTCGGAAGAACTCATGTTTACTTAGAGATCTGAACTAACATCACCTAGGGTTACAGTCAGTCAAAAGTGCCTGGTTATAATGTGTCATCTAGCTTGGTGACCACATTTCAAAAAAGTCTATAAAATTCGGTTAGCACTAAGGGTTACATAACATGAAATTGAATAATCTCTGGTGACTAATCAATGTATACTTTGAACTGTTTTTTGAATGACCCTAACAGTTTACTTAGTCCAACGTCAGTTTTTTTGCAGGTGAAGTCAGATATCTGTGAAGCTTGGAAAGTTGAAAGCCATGATTGGAAATAAGTAAATTTTTGGTAACTCTATGCAGAATTCAGGGGTGAAACAGTTCTCTAAAGGTAATCTACTAAACTTTCTTGGACCCGACAAAGGACCAGGAGTTGTGATGGTGAATAATACTGATTACAAATATTAAATATTCTCTATTCTTGATGATCGAAATCAATTTTGTCGAGGTCGTTTTATTTTTATTTATTAGAACACAAACACCATACAGCAAGGGCACCAAGAAAAGCGCCACACAAAACATTATGAAGACATAAACGATGAGAAGTGGATACGTAGGAAAGAAAAACAGTAAGAAGAGCATCGCTAGACACATTAAAAAAACATCCACCACTTTAAGAAGATAGAAGGGAGCTTCAGCATGACCGCCACCGGTCTCGATTATGAGCCATATCTGATAACGTCTCAAGCCAATGAATTGCGTGATATCTTGGACCCACCCAGGGAGTCGTGATGCACCGACAGATGCTTACGCGATACAATTATTCTTCATCCCATGGCGCCACGTCACACACTGACCACCACTGCACTTTTTTCATCCACTTTCAGGGCTAGTAAACAATGCACGGTATGGAAGAGGTTAGCACGACATAAGTAACACATGTCTAAACCACCGAAGCCGGTGTTTACAGATGACTTCATTTATTGGATGATGGTCTCCATCATGCCCAAACACACACTATCGTATCTCAGAATTACTTACGTAGCGTTGTCACCGGATACGTTCATTCCTACGGAGACAACGATGATCGAACACACTGAGCCGTCACAGATGGTCAGCTTGTAAAAGCCAGATTTCACAGGTGTAGAGAAGAACGGTCAACACCGAAGAGGTGTAAACGCGTTCTTTTACAGTCAGATTACCGTCACAACAGCGCCAAAGGTGGCCAGGAATGACGTATGCCACTCTGGCTTTCGATATAGGGTTGGAAATTTCACCACTCAAACCTCCACTAGCACTCACACAACTACCCAGATACACGAACTTTCCAACTATTTCCAACGGCTTACCACCAAGGGTGAGTGCAGGCACAGGCTCTTGCCAATCTTCCAAAACTATTTAGCCCCAATATATTCAAAATGCCTCTTTCTTGAATCGAACCAAACATAACTGGGTCCTTTGATGTAATCTGCAGAAATCAAATTCTGTAACATATGTTTACCAACATTCTTATGAATAATGGAAAATCAGAGACTGGGCTCAATCACATTTTATGGACGATTTCATTGGAAAATGAGCGTGACTAAACTAACAGATTATGAAACCTAGAGTTCGAGGTGTCAGAATTAAGATAAATTAGGCTTTAGGCCAGATAATAAACAAAAAGACAGACGGAAAGTAGACATTGAATTCAGTGATTTGACTTTCCCGCATTTGTGAAAAGCTGACGAGTTCTACATAGGAAGAAAAGCATGTCCTAGATCCCACTGCTAGCCGCTATTTATCAATAATGTATATATATATATATATATATATATATATATATATATATATATATATATATATATATATATAGACTGAAACTTACTTTTGCATGTTCACATGGAATCTGTTCTAAGAGCTTCACTAAACGACTTTGATCATTACGACGGTAGGCCAACAAGTCGGCTAATGTGAAAGCGATTGATCCATCAGTGAATAATTCCAGCAAGACACATCTATGCAAGGTTTGATAAACAATCATAATAAATATAAGGTAAATTACATTTGACATGTAAAACTTTGCAAAATGAAAATAAATTAGTCAACTTGAATGATCTGTGATGGCAGAAGAATGTTCGCATAGTCCTATCAGAAAAATCAAACCCATCGCCTTCACGTGATGGACATACAGTGACAAAAGGAACGGGTGAAAAGTGGGTCTTCGGTACTTACTAGTGATCTACACAATACAGACAGTCCGCATAAAGGTGATGAAAAAAAAATACTGGCTTCGAGCCAGTAGTGAATATGGACTACAAAATCGTGAAAGTAAAGGTATATAGATCTAGGCTGATCAATAGAAACCAGAGGAATACATTATTATTATTTGTCCCATGGGTTCCTAGTGGAACATAGAGATTCAGTAGCACGTCTCCATTCCAATCTCTCTTCTCTGCAGTCTTGTCAACCCGGCTCCATGACTGCCCACAAGCTCTCATTTCTTCCTCACACTATCTCCTCCATATCACTCTCCGCTCACACGCCCAACTCGTTGTTTCCCCTCTCGATTCCACTCGACGGTCTGGCACGTGATGTACCCAATCGGTCTTCTCAGTGTATCCCCAATCCATCTCCACTTTCTCCTGCATATTTGTTGGGCGGTGGGTTCTTGGTTAGTTCGTTACCAGTCAGCCAGAGTTCCTTGTTGCTTATTCTCATTATTCTGGTCATCCATCTGATCTTCAGTATCCAGCCAGCGTAGGCAGCAGCTGTTGATGTATGTCTGTAGTTTTTTGGAAATGCTTTTCGTAATGCGCCGAGTCTCCAAACCATATAGAAGCACAGACTTGACTTTAGTGTTGAAAATCCGGATCTCGTTTGAGCTTTATGCTAAGTGCAGTAGATCTCCACAAATCGGCCAATTGGCTTTCAGAAGACTTTCACCAACCGGCGTCATTTCGTCTCCCCAATTCCAGTAAGGAATAAGCTTATTCTTAATTTTAATATTTTCTCTATGCTTTGAAGTTTCTTTAGCGATTGGATTGATTTTACAGGGAAGGGTTGCTAGCCCTATGCCGAACTTTCCCCTTTTGTTCGGGCTTAGGCCCAACTAGTAAACTAGTAAACCAAGCTAGGTTTTAACCAGTCAAAATATAAACTAAATGTTGAAAGAAACTATTCTGATTTTAAAGGATATTAACCATTTGTGAGAGGATCTCTCGAAGTTTGCTTGCTAGCAATGGTCCAGGGCAGACGTGTACACTTTTTTTTAAAAAATACTTACCCAATCGAAAAGAGATCCATGCTAGGCGTTAAATGACAACTCAATTCAGGTAGGTTAAATGAATTATACTTTGTACGTTGTTTTAAATCAACTTCATCATTCGAATTTTGTATATCACAGTAATCAGCATTGAGTATAAGCGAAGGTGATGAATTCATACTGAGTTGAGTTAAAATTTCACTTGAATTTTCAATAAAGTAAGATGATTCACTCTTTGGAAGATTATTACTCATATCTGAAGTTTCGATAGATAGTTGTTTATGCAGTTCAGTGCTATTCTCTTTGCTAAATTCATTTGATTCGCTTTCTGTAGTTGACCCTTGGATTGAACTATCACCTATTTCATTAACAATTACACTTGGATTCTAAAAATGAAAACATAGTAAGGAAAAAGAGATTGATTACAAGCTGAGATCAAAGGTGGTTTACTTTACAAATATCCATCCTTCGGATAAGTAGTGAAAATAAACAAGTACGACTTGGCACGGTAATTTCATTCCGTTTAAAGTGGCACTACCAAGAGACAAGGTTAGAGCAACAATAGAACATGTCAACAGACTATCGATAAGAGAATGACAGCACAGAACTGTCAAAACACAATCCATTATCCAAGATGATATCAACAATCAGGAAAGCAGAACGATGAAAACAATAAGCAGTAAGAACTATGAAATTCAAGTTGAAACAATGCTTTCATAAAACCGGAAATACTCAAATTAAAACGTCGAAAAAATTTATGGTAGAAAAGTGACCTAGTGAGAAGGGAATTCCTACTGAGAAAGCATCATCAACCATCGGTATAAGAAAGTGGATGATCAACCTCTCAACTACGGCGTTAAGTTCAAACGGGGTGCAAATAGTTGACAAAAGGCTAAAATTTAACACAGATGTTTAATTGAAATCCGAAGACTTCATTCATACCACAGGAGTAGCATTAAACTCATTACGTAGGACACTGTTGAACAAGTCTGAATTCAAAGTCAACTAGCACTCAAATAGAAGAAGGTGAAATAAAATTAATTTGACACAACCGGAAATATCAGGTCTAAAGAATCTAAAAAGTGACAACAGCACAGCGATCGCCACAGCTGATAACGGTGATACAACAGTAGTTATAAATCGTTTACTTTAATGCCTAAAACTAACAACCATAGCACAATGTATGCAACTATTAAATTACACAAGCCAGGTTATTCCATTACACCGGTGGTTGACTTTAGAAACACCCTAACATATATGAACTATCAAAATATTTAACGATGCTACTACGCACAATTACAAACCACTCAAGCTGTCGACTAACCAATTCACATGAATTGAATTAAAGGCTACATAATATGCAAGTAATTGAAAGAACGATTGCTTTTGTTGTCACAAGCTTATATCCTACTGCAACAATCAGTATGGCTCCAGAAGCTGTCAGAAGAAAAATTTACAATCATTCGAGCTCACTCAGAAAACTACGGTACCAACTGAAAACATCATGTTTCCAGTTCACTTAGGTCTCAGATCTACACTTCTCAAATTCAAAGATACAATATACAAAAACAAACGGAAGAAGTAGCATTGCGATCACCAATATCTCGAGTCGCATCACATATTCTTATGGATAATCGACAATGTATAGTTCCTAAGACATTCTTCCTTACTCCAAAAGTTTGGTGGAAATATATACATGACACATTTACTATGTTCAAATTCAATCTCCCGAGTTAGAAGATGAACAGGGAGAATTAGCTATATTGGACTGTAAATAAAACGATGGCAAGATGGTGATTTTGACACAAGTGGCTACAGAAAACCGACACATTCTGATAAAAATCTAGACTTTTTCTCAGCTCACCCTACATCAGTAACGGTAGATCTAGTTCAATCTTTAAGCAATCAAGCTAGGAGTGAGTTTATCCAGAAAGTCGAACAATTTAAATACAGGAATGAAACACATAACAGTAGCTTTAATCCTCAGTACATATCCTCTTCAATTTATTCAGGATTACACAAGGAATTGTAAGAAAAAGAAAATTACTGATGTGAACAAGGATTGCAGCACGAACAAGAAGGTATTCAAAGCCTCTTTAGTGTTGCCACACAAGGGAAGGAAGTCAGAAACCCTACATAGGATTCACAATAAAGCTCAGATTAGGGTGCCATTCAAGTCTACAAATTCATTCAGAGGTAAGCTTTGTGGGTTTAAGGATGCTATTGACCTAACAAGACAAAATTCAATTCACCAAATGCCTTAGAATGACTGTGAGATCAAATACATGGGTCAAACTAACCGATCGGGATCAGTCAGGTTAGCAGAACATAGGAATCTAATTAAATTTAGATTGATAGACCCTTCTAAAATAAGGAATCTATACAGGAATTAAGCGACAGCAATGCATGTGATAACACAAAACCACACAGTAGGGTGAGAGGTTGATCACTGAATCTCCGTTCATCGATTCAATACCAAACATGTGTAATAGAAATGATTCAGTACCGGTTCCAGATATCTGGAAAATCCTTATATATATATATATATATATATATATATATATATATATATATATATATATATATATATATATATATATATATATATATATATATATCAATCTAATAAGGAACTTGACTCCGACACGGTGCCCTGAATTCCTTGTTGAAATGTACATATGAATTACCACAACATGAATCAAAACATTCAGATTGAAAATAGATTCCATATGCGTTCATATATGTGTGTGCATGTTTTACGCAGTAGATAATGAACCATACCTTTGGTGTGACAGCTAATAATATTACCTAACTGGCTAGACTTCCGTAGATAGAGCTGAGTTCTTAACTGTAACCCACTGGATGAAAAGCAAAGTGCCTAAACTGATAAGCCACAACTCCACGATATTACCGACTAATAAACCAGAGTTGTTACTAAGCCTCTTAAATCCTCAAATTTCGCCGGCAGATCATAGGTTCGAATTTGGCTTGACTTACCGTGATTTGGGCAGTCAGGTAGTATCACCCGTCCTCAAAATACAAATGTCTTACAGTTTGGTACACTAACTTGGACACAGTTGCTAATTAATTTAATTCTACCACCTACCACAAAAACGAAGCATACAATTTAAAATGTACAAGTAACATAAAATGTATAGCTTAGGGACATTTGGTCAAGAAACTAGTGTCATTGTGATAAGAAAGAAATGAACAGTTTTCTTACGCTAACCTAGTACTGTTCTTTGAAAATCATAGTCAGATTGCTTCTAGATATCAAAGTCAGGATTTACCAACACCTTATAGTCAATCGTGACTGCATCAGTGGAAAACAGCTGAGATCTGTTGCCCTCCAATTCAATGAGATTTGCCACCCCCCCCTCCCAAGATTTACTTCCACCTTTATAAAACTCTCAAGTTATTCAGGAAAAGCCCACACAATCACACAAAGTGTGACTGTGAAAGCAAATTTTAAATCCATAGACAATCATATATATATATATATAGAAAAATTTGTTTCTTACCATTCGAATGATAAGTCACAAGACATAGAGTATATAATGCATACAAGAGGACAAAATTAATTATTCAAACTAAATGAAACAACATTATTCTAGAATATCCGATGTACGGAGGCTATCAGTTATGGCTCTATGAGCTAAAATCATTTACATGAGAGTTAAAAACATTCAGCATAACCCCTCTTATGAATGAAGATGCTGAAAGACGTGTTAGCCAACAAATCGACAAGTTATAAACATCTAGGCCATAGTTGTTACAAATGTCCTGAAAGAAGTTGAGCACCGATTCAGGTTGATTCATTATATAGGTAAGTTTTAACATAATCCCAGCATGTTCAGAAAAAAGAACACTACGCATCATCATTGAACAGAGTATAGAATGGCAGTCAACTCTCTACCTCAATTTCATCGACTTTGAAAAAGCCTTCGATAGCGTCGACTGAGAAGTAATTTGGAAACTGCTTCAACACTACGGTTTCAGTGCCATGAACCTTTATAAACCTCATTCAACAGCTATATGAAGATGCTACATGCTAGGTGATACACAATGGAAAGCTTAGTGACGCCTTTGAAGTGAAGACAGGAGTAAGACAAAGCTGCCGCCTACTATCATCCATGATCTTCCTGATTGTGGTCGACTCGACTGGGTCATGTAGCAAACCGTGAGGAGCGAAAAGATGAGCATACGCTGGCTGGACCGATGAAAAGACCTTAAAAGATTTGCGTTTCGCCAACGATGATGATTTATGTCTAATGTCTTGTGGCATGAGGTCGAAGATCTACAGGTGAACACTAACAAGTTGATAGAAAAGGCAGCGAAGGAGGACGGGACTTCAAGTGAATGTAGAGAAGACGGAGGTAATGAAGATACCCAATGAACAACAGCATCAACAACAAAAGGCATCAACCACCATTAACGAGAGAAACCTAAAGGAAGTAGTCTCTCTCACCTACCCACCTACCTAGGCAACATCGTTTCAACTAGAGGCGGCACAGACGATGTCAAAACCAAGATCAGAAAAGCAAGACAGGCTTTCATTAATCTGAAATCAGTGTGGAGATCTACAGCACTTAGCATAAAGCTCAAACGAGATCCGGATTTTCAACACTAAAGTCAAGTCTGTGCTTCTATATGGTTTAGAGACTCGACGCATTACGAAAAGCATTTCCAAAAAACTACAGACATACATCAACAGCTGCTGCCTACGCTGGCTGGATACTGAAGATCAGATGGATGACCAGAATAATGAGAATAAGCAACAAGGAACTCTGGCTGACTGGTAACGAACTAACCAAGAACCCACCGCCCAACAAATATGCAGAAGAAAGTGGAGATGGATTGGGGATACACTGAGAAGACCGATTGGGTACATCACGTGCCAGACCGTCGAGTAGAATCGAGAGGGGAAACAACGAGTTGGGCGTGTGAGCGGAGAGTGACATGGAGGAGATAGTGTGAGGAAGAAATGAGAGCTTGTGGGCAGTCATGGAGCCGGGTTGACAAGACTGCAGAGAAGAGAGAGTGGAATGGAGACGTGCTACTGAATCCCTATGTTTCACTAGGAACCTAAGGGACAAGTAAGTAGTAGTAGTAGCTGTGCCCTGGATGTTTATAATCTGATTAAACATCAGATCAAAATATCAGTCAAATTTGTACAATCATCGTATTTTCAACATTTGCTGTTCACATAATGATATTATTCCCAAATCACTCGGTATAAATATTCACCTCGAGATATACAAGCAGCCAAGTTTGCATCTCGAATCTTTCTACGTGAGCGAATACACAAATATAACTCAAACTTTTAACACTATCGAATTTGAATTGAAAACATTGAAGACTGTTTAAAATATGATTGTTCCTCAAGATCAGCTTCGTTCAATAATGACATTATGTATGTGAATATACGATCTACTTAGTTTCAAAATGTTAAACAAAGACATCCGAAAATTCAATCGGCTAATAAACTGAATTCAAAGAAGGGAAAAAACTCAACAGATTCGAAAGTAGTATACAATTTATCAAATAGACAACTACGTGATGACAAAATGACATTACTTAAAAAAGGACTAAACTAACGAGAAGACCTTTGAAAGTGATAGAGCTGGCTTCCATTATAAAACCAGTTATATCGCTGATATCAAAAGAAGCTGATATATTATGAAAAAAACCGTAAGTAACATCTCAAATCAGAAACCTAGTACAGCAAATCTTACGAAGCAAGAATGTTATGCTTTAAACGCTTTGAAATTGGAGAAGTTAATCATGATAAGTAAAGCTGACATAAGTAATATTACAGTTATTCTAAATAACGAAGATTATAATTAAACGGCATTGGAACATATTAGCTCAGGTCTATATAAACTAATACCGATAAAAATAAGATCTTTAGTACATCAGAAAAATCTTGTTTCCGATTTTGTAAACCCGCTGGGATTATATTAAAACTTACCTACATAATAAATCAATAAATTAACATTGAAAAGTCTGAATCATTCAAGTACGCTTCTAGTTAGAATAAACACTCGAGTTAACACATATTGAAAAACATGTAGCATATTTATTCACTTGATATATCAGGTGACCGATAATTTTCTTTTCCTTCTTTTTTTTTGTTATCAAGTATCTTTCAGTTTCCTTACCAACTTCCTATAAAGTAATCAATCAATCCAGGATTCTATTTCATATATCACTGAAATATCAATCAAGCGAAACTCAGATAAGGGTGATTATTGTAACGATGGATAGTGGTTTGCAGTGGAATCTAGGATGCGCATTTCGTCCTCTTTGGGACTCGTCAGCTGTAAGTACCTGCTTCACAGTGAGTGATGTTGTTCCCATCCACTGCTAGCCACTATCTATCATTACTATCATAAGAGCACAGGTAATATCGAGGCATCCGCACAGAATCCCATATGCCAATAGAGACCAATCAATTCGGTCCAATCAACGACGGTATGATATAAAAACAATTATCTAATAAGGGTGATTATTTCTTATAATGCTTAAATGTATGATGGTATCAGAAATAGATTCATTTGAAGGTAGTTTTCTACATTTTACATCAGTTCAGAATCCATATAAAACCAATCGGTATCAAAGCGCTAGTTTAATACTTTCCAGCAGTTAAAACTATCGGTGAAATTAACGCTTTTCATATTACCAACTAGTGTACATGAATGCGCTACCTACCTCCTTTAAAACAATGAGTACTCTTCAAATTGTTCAGTTACGAAATAAGTCATTTTTTTAAATGACAGAAAATGCTTATTGATGACATTGGAAGTAAACATAATGCAAAATACCGACTAAAGTGGAAAAATGGTACATACTAAACTTCAACAACAGACAAAAAATCAACGGAGAACCTCATACAAGACATGCCTATTGTTCGATATGGACATCGAAGTAACCAATGCGAAAACAGTTCACACCAGTTTAAGTTGCTATACTTCAAAATAACACCCATAAAATGGTGAATAGCTAACAAAAAAAAAAGCTATAAAAGAAGGCAAAAGCATACAAGAGTTAGCATTTAAATAATGTTCATGAAACCTAAGGTTTCTAAATCCACTAACCAGAGGCTATGAAGGTATTCACTGTTGGCAGCAAAAAATCTTAGTTCTTATAGATCTTTCTTCGACTAATTCTATATGAAGAAAACTAACTCCAAAAAACATTTTACCTGGGATTCAGTTGTTAGAATAAAATTTCTGACAAATCAATTCATGAATAGATACATCCGAATTTCTCAGCACAGTCATCTACTTTAACAAATATACATTTTCAAACTTATTAACTAAGGTTATTTAATTGGTTGTGGCTAGCAGAGGAATCCAGGACGCGCGTTTCGTCCCATTTGGGACTCGTCAGCTGCATGTAGCTGCACCCTGGCGAGTGATATTGTTCCCACTGAGACTCAAACCTCGTAACCATCGATTCAAACTCCAAGGCGTTATCCACTATGCCACGGAGGCACGATGGCAACTTCTTATACAGCGGGTAGTAGTTATTACTATTTATTGATATACTTGTAATTCTTCGTTGTTTTTATTGGATAGAATTGTTCGACCTCTATTGGCATATGGGCTCCTATGCGGATGCCTCAATATTGCTTGAATGTTAATTATGGTAATGAACTTGAAACAGATAAATACTGCTTAAGCAGTAGTAAAAAAAACGGTAGTAGTTAATGGACTACTCCAATTTTACATTTTTTGAATCTTCATAGTGTGGATTCACTTCTTCTAAATGACTATCTGGTATTTTATTCAACGTGTTGCTAACATCCAAATGTGCTGCATCCAAGCCAATTGTTTCAGCAGTGGTTATTGCCGTTGTTGTTGTTGTTGCGCCAGAATTCTGTACTTCAACAAAGCGCTCTGGTGCTAAATAACAAACACGTCGACGTGATGAATCAAAGAAATGCGTAAATTCACTAGGATTATCAGATGGTAGCCAAACCGGTTTAAATGGTGCTGGATCAGCCAATAAAACCCATCCCCAAGAGGTGATCAGTACATTTTCCGCTTTAATATCTCCATGACAAAGACACTAAAAATGTAGAAAAATCAGTTCAAGTAAATTTTATTTATTTTCTTCTGACAATAAAATTGTTAAGATTGTCGATTAACGTGAAATTTCAAAAGAACGTATACGAGTTGTACAAATATTTTAAATATCGTTTTACAACAGAAGCTATATCACCAAAGCAATGAAATAAGGATATTCCTAGTTTTCCTCTAAAAATAGAATTTCGGTATTAATGATAGATCGTGGACAGTAGTGGAATCCAGGAAGCGCGTTTCATCTTATTTCGGACTCATCAGATGGATGTACCTGCCTCCCAGTGAGCGGTGTTGTCCTCACTAAGACTCAAACGCGGGTCCGATTGCTTTAAACGCCAGAGCATCGCCCAGTAGACCACCGAGTCACTATAACCATTTCTTGTGCGACGGATATAGTTTTATGTAATGCTGCTGGTATATTATTAATACCAAGATCGAAAATATAAGCGGTACCGAGGCATACGCGCAGGAGCCCAAATGTCGATGGAGACCAATCAATTCGGTTCAGTCAACGACCGGATAATACCAACAACACCATATAAAAATAGCATAGATTTACAATGATCAACTTTGAATGGGCGGTAAACAGTGAAGTTGAAGACAAAAATTGATTCTTAGAAAAGCTGTCTAGTGCGTCCAGTTTTTCAATGGCTCTGCGGTTGATGTATGTTCATGATAAAATCACTAAAAAGCCACCGAGAAACCAGTAATAAAAAAAATAAACCAGATAGAGGAATTTAATCACATGGGAGAGAAAGACTGAGGTCAGCAACTAATGCAGAGGTTTTTATGACCCATAATGAGCTAGTTCGACAATCCAAAAGTTATGAGTCTCCGAAAATCAGCAGTCAATAACTTTATGACTCGCTATTTATAACCTTACCTTACTCAATCCTTTTTAACACTACTGCACATTACATACCCCCTGAAATGTTAATCCCCCTGCGAGACACGATACAAACAAAGCCCAAAAAGCACCAATTATGTAGTGAAGTTATGACTTGAAAGTCTCCCTAAAGATGAAAAGTTTATTTCATTTTTTTGCAGTAAAAGAAGTTGTCAATAATCTGTTACATAAATTATTCTTTACCGAAATCACAGATAATGAAAACAAGTCAACACCAGTAAAGTTTAAAACTGGTCAATTAAGACTCTGTCATCATACACCACATCATTATGATAAGCAAGAAGTATGAAACCCCGCCGTGACATCCGTTAATCTATTAAAGGTCGAATGGACTGCATTGCAGTTTGCTCTGTTCTACTAAACGGTTGCGAAAAAGGGTAGAGTAAATAAGAAAGCCTCGTGTTTGACTGCAGTTGCCTTCGCAACATAGGCCGAGTGTTGTAATGTCATCACATCAGTAATGTAGAAGTCAGGTATAGAGCCTTAGGGAGGACAGGAAAGTCAATTGATGAGGTTGGGTCAGGTAACCAGGACATGTGTTAAGCACGCTTCGTTATACAGTGTTATGTGAAGTGAATTCATGCCGACAAAAAGCTGTGGGTGAACAGACTAGAACATGTCATCAACTCATGAAATCTTCAACTGTTGGTCCGAGTCGTGTGGGGGAATGTAGACCTCCCGATTGGAGTTCACATGACAACTGAAATCAGTGGCCGGGAACTCTAGGTGTCATGGCTCAAAATCGATCTCAGTGGCCTAAATGCATCCACACATTGAATTCAGCACTTTCTTACTTCTCCTTGTTATCTTTTCACGACTTTCTATAACTCCGTTTTCAGCTTTATGTTTCATTTTCGTGCCTTCTCGCTTGATATGCTGATATGAGGTGTAGTGACTAAGACCGTTACGCAGTAACGTCTATATATATATATATATATATATATATATATATATATATATATATATATATATATATATATATATATATATAATAGGACCAAGCATAATCAGCCCTGCAGTGGTCAGAACTACTTATTATACTTGACATTAACACGTCAGAGTAGTGTCAGTCAATAAAAGGGAACACAAAGAAATGAAAAACAATCCCTATCAGTAGTCATGAAAGAAAATGTCAACAAAAATGTAATAAGAAAATGAAAATATACCATAACAAGACCATCTAAGATTTAGGTCAACCTGAAAAGTGTGTTCGCGATTCTGTGATAAATTTTGCCATATACCCATTTACAGTTCAGACTATAAACTTCAATGGAACTACATTAAACTCATTGATTCAAACCAGTAGTCTGAGATTTTATAGACTGATATAGTACCTTTGTCGAACTAGTTAATGCCCTTTCCCAAACTATATCAGCGCAAACTAAAATATTACCCTTTCTTAGATGGTGGCTAAATATACGTAACACATGTCCTAGGAATCGAATAATCTACATCCAACTTCTGCATTTCTCACATGATAATCCCACCACATACAAGCTATGCTAGAAAAGAGACAATAACTAAAAATCAGAAGCCTCTGTAAATTCCCGATGTTCATTGATCACGTTTCTCAATCATATAGAACGACAGTTGAATACCCAAAACCTCCTAAAGGTGACCTCTTTTGAAGTTTACTGTGATGATTTTATCCAGTAAAAAGCTGGTACAGTTACTGAATTGTGCAAAATAGACAACGAGACGTTTTCAGAAAAACGTATAAAAACGGATTAACTTACTGAATGATTAGCTCTAGAATTTGCACCATAAATTTTAGTTGAAAAACTATGAAGTTGGTCAATGGCACATAACAGTTGGTAAGCGATCCAACGTTTATCTTCAATACACAAAAATGGTCGAGTGCATAGACGATCAGCTAATGACTGGTCAATAAAGTCTCTGATAAGCACTCCACAGCGTTCAGTAATATATGATCTAAACGAAGGATTAAAAGTAATATTTGACCATATTTTATAAGTTACAATCAGTTACTCATCAAAACAATAGTAGTGGTGACTGAATTAAATTCCATTTCGGTATTATTTGCTTGGTTAACAGTGAAACTGAAGACCCAAATTTCGCCAAACTAAAGACTCATCAACTAGATTTACCTGATTTCGATGATGTTTCCACAGAGATTTGAACCTAGCATTTATTGCTTCAAATTGCAAAAGGCTATCCAACTAGAAGAAACACTTCTTGTGCAACGGATATCAATTATTGTTTTCAGATACTGAGATTTCAGGTCCTTCATCTTTTTGGAGTGCGTTTATTGACTTAGGTGTGCAATCTATTACGGTGACCTCAAAATTGCTGTGACTAACATTTTGATCCTATCCGAAAATTATGGTAAAACTGAGTTGACCGTGGAAAGATGCTCTTCTGGCAAGAGAGCCAACTTGACATAATGACTGCGAACATCAGTCTAGACAGTGAAGAAAAATATTCCTTGTAACTGTTTGTGATTATTCTACAACCTTCGACATTTGATTGTTGATGTCTCATAGTTGGGCCTGGCGACCGTTTTATCTACTATCTCTACTTCTTTATGGCCATTGAAGGTGGAAGACATGAGAAGGCCGGCTTCAGGTGTTTGACCACCGTTGGCTTCGCAGTATAAGACGTATTCCATGGTGTCACCACGTGAGTAATACAGAAGTTAGATGTAGAGTTTTAGGGAGAAGAGGTAAATCAGTTGACACGGTTGTGAACCTTCATCGACTGAGATGGTTGGGACACGTACTACGTATGCCTAATCACCGATTGCCTCGTTACACAATGTTGGCTGAGGTGGGTTCAGGCTGGAAAAAGGCCCGAGGTGGCCAGACTAAAACATGGCACCGATGCATGAAGTCTCTGACTGTTGGTTGAAGCCATGTGGGGCGATGCAGACTAGTTGGTTGGGGTCGGCGGGACAAGAGGAACCAGTGGTTGGAGACTCTAGGTGATATGACTCGGAACCGATGTCAGTGGCCCAGATGTATGGACGCATTATCCTCATCTTAACGCTGTACCGAATCTTACCATTTTCTCATTCTTCCTTCCTCTCTTTTAGTACTTTATATTTCTTATGAATGAAGTTTTCTTTCCTTCTTAATCTTGCACTTCACTGCCTTTTTACTTGATGTACTGATATGAGGTGTGGCAAATCGGACCGTTAGGCAGTAATGCCTGGTCCTATGTTGACTTGGATGATGGTTATGATAGATGGATAAATAAGCAAGCTTCACAATAAAATGCCAACAATCAAGTATTCAAGCTGAAGGGATACAAGACATTTTATCCACAGATACAAAACTCCACCAAAAATTATATATCAGTCAGACGGACAGAAATATAAAACGCTTCACCCGCTCAACTCATATTTCGCAACATTACAGAAAGAAAGAAAAAAGGATGTTGGCAGAGACTAGAATATTCAGAAATCGAGAAGAGTGCAAAGAAAACAAGCAAATGATGGGCAATCAATCAATCATTATCAACATAGGACCAGGCATTACTGCGTAACGGTCCCAGTTGCCACACCTCATATCAGTACATCAAGTAAAAAGGTAGTGAGGTGAAGGATGAAGATAAGAGAAAGCAGTCAAAAGAAATAAAGTACGGGAAGAAAGAAAGGAAGAATGACAGAATGGTGAGACTCGATGTAGCGTCGTTAAGATGAGGATAATGTGTGTATACATCTGCGCCACTCACATCGCTTCTCAGCCATATCACATAGAGTCTCCAGCCACTGGTTCCTCTTGTCCCGCCGACCCCAACCAACTAGTCTGCATCGCCCCACATGGCTTCAACCAACAGTCAGAGACTTCATGCATCGGTGCCATGTTTTAGTCTGGCCACCTCGGGCCTTTTTCCAGCCTGAACCCACCTCAGCCAACATTGTGTAACGAGGCAATCGGTGATTAGGCATACGTAGTACGTGTCCCAACCATCTCAGTCGATGAAGGTTCACAACCGTGTCAACTGATTTACCTCTTCTCCCTAAAACTCTACATCTAACTTCTGTATTACTCAGGTGGTGACACCACGGAATATGTCCTATACTACGAAGCCAACGGTGGTCAAACACCTGAAGCCAGCCTTCTCATGTCTTCCACCTTCAATGGTCATGTTTCACAGCCATACAGTAGAACAGAGCGGACTGCTGTGCAGTACACGCGACCCTTAATAGACAAACGAATATCACGGCGGCACCATAGGTGGCGTAAATTGGCAGAAGCCAATAGAGCCTTTTGTATCCATGCAGAAATCTCATCGGCAACTAACCCACCAGGGCTGGTCCTACTTCCCAGGTTAGTGAAGTGGTCAACACACTCAACCACTTCACTCTCTACTGTTAACCGCGGTACCGCTGAAGACCAGTCCTGGAGCAAAAATTTGCATTTGGGGGGTGAGGACCGCATCCCAAACATTCTAAAATTCCCACTCAAAGTGTTCAGAAGACTCGGCATCTTGTCAGTGTCTTCACCTAACAGGACTATGTCATCTGCATATTCTAGATCTAACGAAAATTCTCCTGTGATTGGGTCAACGTCTGTGTAATTAGGTGACGAGAGGGAAACCTCCATAAGAATATCTGTGATAAAATTAAATAAGAATGGAGATAGTGGGCATCCTTGACGGACACCACTCGATGAGTATAGCTCCATGGACAACTCGTCATAGGCTCTAACATGCCCACAAGTGTTCGAGTAGAGAGCTTTCAATAAGGCGATGTACTTACTAGGCACGCCTTTCAGTGACAGACATTGCCATAAGACTTCTCGATCAATGGGGTTGAATGACGCCTTCAGGTCGGGAAATACAGCTATTATCGGGCGTCTGTAAGCATGCTTATGTTCCACGACCTGGCGCATTGTGAATATTTGGTCAATACACCCACGACAGGTCTAAAGCCTGCCTGGTTTTCTCGGGCTTGCTGTTCTCGAGCTCCACTCAGGCGTCGGAGGATTATAGAACCTAGGATTTTGGACACTATGTTCGTCAGGCTGATTCCTCTGTGGTTATCACAAGAGGACTTCTCGCCTGTCTTGAAGACTGGGATGATGAGTGACTTAGACCAGTCGGAGGGGATTGTATTTGATTCCCATATACTAGCTAACACTTCTTTTAACCTGACTAAGAGCACTCTACCACCATTCTTGTATACCTATGCAGGTAGTCCGTCTGGTCCTGCTGCCCTTCATCGTTTCAGGTCACCTACCGCTTTCTCAACTTCTTCGAGTGTTGGGGGCCTATATCTATGTCCCATTCAGGATCCGACTGGATAGCGGGCAATGTAATGGACAATAAAATATGACAAGTTTTTCGAAGAACCGCGACCGTTACCAAGAATTTCCATTCACCGACCACTGACATCCTCCTGAGGGTCCCAGTCAGGTATTCCACAATCCTCCGTATGGCTTAGATAAACGTTTTGTTAGTAATAATACACAATGTTGCTTTTAAAAACCGTCAATTACATAGTGTACACAACTGTGGTGTTTCAACGTTTTTCTTTTCTCTGGATTAGTGATTATGGTTCCCTATCTCACAATATTGATTTCTGTGTTAACGAGAGACCCGCTTTACTTCCAATGAACTAAAATATGCTTAAATTTCCATCACAGGTTTTCATTTTGGCATTTTAGGTGGTAAGTAATCACAATGAGAGACTGACGAAATGAAATGGTGCCATGTTATTCTGTTCAAATAGTTATTCTTGATCACTTCGATTTGAGAAAGAGCAAAATGTGTAGGAAAGTCTTTATGACATGCCTCGTCTTATATGAAAGAGGAAAGTTTTTGATAGGAACTATATAATTTTCAGTGGCAGATAAACCGTTATTAAATTCTTTTTGTCAGGTATGCGTAACTGGCTTTATTATTATTACTACCAGTATTACCAAATTATTGTGCCTGAAAATGAACAGTCGCGGGTCGAATAATTCAGTGGTAACGTCTCTGACTGCAGGACTGGACGACGCGGATTCGAATCTCAGGCGGGAAATCAGCTCCGTAGAGGCTGCAGATTCGCCTTGTGACGAGTGTCAAAAAGCACGGAACGTAGGTTCAGGGCTTCCTGCTGATCGCCTCCACCCAATTAACATGCGTAAGTTCGTCGGATTATCAAGTACTAATAATTCCGTATTTTATCAAAAAATATTAGCTGGAATAAATCAACCATTATCATTTCTATGAATTACGATTGACCACGCAATATAAACATTATGCTACGCTCGGGTAGATATGCAATAAAAGAACTCGGAACCTTGTTTTCTGAGTCTTAATGCAGCCGTTAATAAGTAACAAGGAAGAAAGAGCAGGAACGAGGTGAACGAGATCATTACCGCTCTGAACAGATGACGCACAAAGCGCTGACCTTGCTGGTCATCCATTCAGCCAGCGAGTTTCGGGAGCTGAATTCCGAGCTCGTCAGAAACTTGAAATTCTTACAACGGCGTGATTAAAAGTATCAGGTTTCCCGGCCTTTCTGAGAAATATTCGTATTTCCCAACGATCGTAGTCTTCATTTTAAAGTTTACACTATGTATAAGATGAAAATTTGAGTGAATACATAATTTCGTTCAAGTTTCAATAAACCTCATCCTTAAATGCAATATTTCAAACAAGAGAACATCCAAACATCAAATGGTTATATGGATTTGAAGGCTCACAAACCGTCCTTAACGAAAAGATCTATAATCAGAGCATTTTTTGCCGCCAATCTTGAAATGATATTCTCCTGTCAGAAACTCATTCATCAGTACGCAAAGGATAAGCTGGAGCATTGAACCACATCAATAGATGTGTGTCAGTTTACCTGCTTCTGAGAGGTCGAGTACATAGGTCGTACCCTGAGCCAGCTTATGAAACGCGCTCGCAAACCCTAGCTGACAAGGGGAGAACGGAAACGCATCTTCAGCTCTGTAACAGAACATTTAGTAAACTCAAGAAACTTGGCTTCTCTCGGTAAGTCCTTCAAAATTTTGTACAAAGTGCGACCAGCCACTTGAAAGGAATGAGGTTAAGACATCTGGGTACAGCTGAAGTATTAACAATTCCAAAGTTCACGCCATCATTATGAGTCCAGAAGAAGTATGGACAACCTCTTCTTTTACCATGGTCATCGTAGAAGAAAGTTCGTTCCAGATGATTCCCTTATCGCGTAACTATTTTTGATTTAGTAATCATTTTGTTTACTTACTCATTTTAAACGCCTAGAGACACTGAGTAACTTTTCTTTGTCAGGCAATTCATATTCACCTTTGATCAGCAATCACTTTGGAATGTTCTATCCCCTCTACTATATATTTATGAATGTAAAGCTAAGAGAATGATGTCGTCGAAAAGAAAAACTTTTTTTTCGCTGCAATCATCTGTCATCTCCTATGTTCAAATGGGTTTGTCTCGATATTTGAAATTATCAAAATATTATGGGTTAAAAAGTTTTTACGCTTACGTGCTGAAAAATAGCAAATTGTAACCAGAGTTAATACGATGACAATAAGGCAACATAATAGCCTGATAACGCCATAATAATTGCGATACATTTGGATTAGGGAATATTTTCACTACAAGTGAACGAGGATTATTACCATCAACACATCTAGGAAATAAAAAGTTAGAAGGATACACTAAGACTAGATTTCTAAGTTTCAATAAGTAAGTGCATAAGTTAAAGTTGTCACATGTCTAAATAACATAGAGAAGTGGGAATCTGCTAAGGATGTCTATATCCCTTATATTACATACTTACAGGCTTGGGTGTATTCGAACTTGGTTATTCGCGCTCTTTTCTCACACATGGGTCATATTTTGTATGACCAACTATTGTTCTGATTGGTTCCTGTCTCTTTAAATGTACTAATTATCCCTTGTCTTTCAAGGTCAGTGTAAACTGTATAAATAGGGTCCGTTTTCATTCATAAACGTTTTCAGTCCAAGATACTATAAACTAATGTGGTTCCCAGCCTTTTGATTTCTCTTCGCGAATCACTTGGGTTGCGTTGTCTCAGCCCTTGACTACCAAACGTTAAGCATTTCCGTTCGTTCTCACAACTCCAGATCATAACAGAATCAGTACAAACAATCAAATAAAGAGAAAGTAGATGTAGGAAAAATGATCTGCGCACGCTGATTGGTGTGTTTACTGTTAAGATATTTAAGTTGTTAGCGTTAACTTAGACCTGTATGGATCAACACTGGCTAGGATTACCGATTCCATGGTACCAAAAAAATGCTAACCTGGAGACTACTATTACAATCTATTTTCGAAATGTACATCCAACAGCTTAAAAAATTGAATTTTGGATCAGTAGTGTTAACTCTCATCTTCCGACCAATAATTTATTCGTTCGAAACTTCCGCTCACCTGCTTAAACTGATTTGGATACGAGCATTATCCCGTCATCATACAACAGGCACAATACATAGCCTAGTAAAAAAAAACCACACAATAGAACACCATACGCCTACACCACTATAAACGCATTCTTCTATCATCATTTGGACCTTCAACTGTTGGAGCATCCTGTCGGAAATGATAAGTAAATATGAGTAACATAATAGTGTTGATGGATCCAGTAAGGTAACTGAAGTAGGCAACGTACTTAATTAGTGAACGGTACATAATCCAATAAGCTGTGAATGTATAACCTTAAGGAAGACATAGCTCATACAAAAGGAACCTGAAACATATTCAAATTACCTTCAATACACTAAGACGTTACATTTTGTTTAAAAATATTAGAACGTTGTTTGCATGATTTTTGAACGGGGAATTATAATAAATTGAAAATGGAATCCCAAACCTATGTTTGTACGTCTATCTGTTATAATGTGTAATAAGATTGCCCTAAATTCTCTAAGCCACTGATAACCAATTGTGTTACACCGAAGTTTCGACAAAAAGCACGTGAACCAACGTCTAAATACCAGATTGGTTGAACAGGCGAAAACCAATAGGATAGATCATTCTAGAAAGGGTAAGAAATAGTCAGGGCCATTGTGAATATATATATAAACCGTTGTATTTTGTATATATTTCGACGTTGCAATATACCTTCTGTTATCTTACCGCCATTTCCGAATACCGAGGAACTGAGTGACCATCATTGGTGGAATCTGTCTACTCTCTCTCTCTCTCTCTCCATATATATATATATATATATATATATATATATATATATATATATATATATATATATATATATAGCTTAGGTTACGTCCACTCATATATAACACGAGTTATATCAAGTGGTGCCTATGAGGATATAATACTCAAAAACTGAACGGCTTTAAAGAGTGACTAGGTTTTTTCCTGGTCAGTAATACCTATCATGATAACCTTAGACAACTTTGCACTCTTCCCGAAAGTGCTTGATACGATCACAACAACACACGCTACACACCTATGTTGATAGCACAGGAACATAAACACTACAACCCTCAGTGAATAAATTAGAAATGAAAATGTCCCATATACAAATAATGTGTTCTATGAGAAGGTCGTATATTACTAGAGTTATTGTTTATACAAAGTAATTTACGTTTTAGAGTTTGAACATCAGAACTAATTTTAAATATTTTATTTATAAACGTTTTCTCAAGAAAACCCAACTCTCTATTTGAATAATGAAAATCTAAACGCATCATTTGTATTACAAAAGTAACACAAATGAAAGATCTCATGTTTTCAGCTGTTATTGACGTTACGATGGGCTTCAAAGCCAATTATCAGTTCGTCAGCTAGGAAAAAGTAAATGATGAATATTAGGTTGTGTAATTACAACTGTATACATGTGGAGAATATTTGTAAATCAAGAGGTTGACGTTGGTAGTGTTGTGTACTTTGCGCTGAATAACTTAAATGTGAAATAATCGTCATTCTAAACAACATGATTGGTATGTTGACAGCAACCCAAATCCACCAATCAATAAAAAACAAGATCTGAGTTTAACTCAACACACAACAATCAAAGGAAACAACCAATCACAAACCAGTTGGTCAGGACAAACTACTAAATCACTCACGGAGAGATATTGACAGCTCACTTCATACTGAAGTTAGTGCTGATGATGTCGTCTAGCAAGGCGATGAAAGCTTCACGATTAAACAGCCCAGCTCAGAGAACACAATACAACCAAGACCATCCACCTGAGCTACACATATTCCCCACTATTTGAGTTTAACTCAATCATACAGAAAAATGAAAACATGTGCAAACACCAAAGATCATCACGACAAGCTACTTAGTCATTTATGAAGAATTCCTCATACCTCAATGCATTTTAAAGTTGATATTAATGACAGAGATAATGAAAACTTTATGGTTAAACTGTCCGGCTCAGAGATAACAATCCCGGAAACTGTGATTACTTCAGAAATACAGATAGACATCAACGTAGAACTTCATCGAGTTCAAGTTGTCCTAAGTTACAGCAGCATACAAAAAACGAATAGATAGAAAAAAACTTATATCAAAATGTATGAGAGGATAATACTTTTTAACAGTGAATTTTAGTGGAAATGTCAGAACTTTCCAATACGTTGAAGAGTTAATACATCTGCGCCATAGTGATTAATTTCCAACCACGGTAACAAGGGTCTCCAAACATTGATTCCTATGATCTCGGGGACCCTAGCCAAGTATGCTACACTTCCCTAAACAGCTCATGGCAACAATCAACAACTTCAGGGACTAGTGCCACGTCTGCAAAGTGATTACTTCTTCGACTAGCATTGCACTTCAAGGTAGAAGTAAAATCCTCATAAGTGTGAATACATAAAAACTAACCTTATTTTAGCAACTTTAAACAGTCTGGAACCACACAGCTCTTCTTCAAATCGAACTAGACCAGATAATTCAGATAAATAATCCTCAACATTGACAACTGGTGAAGGAGATAATCCAGCCAACTGATTCCCCATTCTTTGTGAGTATCTAACTAGCTACTTTTGTAAGTAGCATGAACGAATCTGTCTGTGAAAGATAAATAAACAATTATATGATTAAAGTGTTCTCAAAATATTATAACAGATATCGGAGAAAGATAACATGATTAAGAAAAATAAATGCATAATACCCTCCATCTTACTTTGATATTTTATTGTCAATAACAATTTGGTCAGTAGTACAATAGAAGAACCATAAATCATTGCACCTTCAATTGACTTATGCTTGAATAAGTTTGAATATTACAACCAAGAGTCGAAGGAGATCATGTGAGGACGAAATGAAAGCTTGTGGGCAGACTGTAGAGAACAGTGTGCAATGGCGACGTGCTACTGAAGCCCTATGTTCCACTAGGAACCCAAGGGAAAAATAATAATAATAATTGGCTGCTTTAAACACTACAGTATTATTATGAGTCATGAAAGCTATTACCATAGTGAATAATATATTGTGAATCACTCATTTTTCAGCTCATAACAAATGATTACGCAGTCTATGAGATAAGTTTGGGAGTAGACGTATTCACATTTTGTTTGTTGATGATAGTGAACGTCAAATTGGACTTTGAAATTCATTACCATCCACTTTAGACTTGATAATAATATCATGCTGCTAAAGTTAATGATTCCGTTAAAACCGAGATTTACACAAAGTAATGACTGGTCAATATTTTGCTTGAATAATAGCTCTTAAACAGTATACGAGATGAATAATTTTGTATTCATATAGAAAATGTCAACCTTTTGGTTTTTATATTCTACTTAACTGTTAAATCTTGTTCTACGCTTGATAAAAACTATTCGCTTGGATATGGAAGAAGGATTGGTCGATCTATACTCATTTACGTGAAAGCCTAAGAGTTTTGGTTCACTGGATTAGACATTTAACTGACTTCCATTCAAAGCGTTATGCGTTCAAACCTGACTTTGTACCAACATTTCAGGGTTTGGTAAGGAAATGATAAATGCGATCATCTGTGAAGAATCAAGGAATTCATTTACACCTCAATGTTTACTGTAGTTGAAAAAGCAACTCGTAAAACATTAGTTGTACTAAATTGAAGCTTGAGACACTTAAAAATCCCGATCATACAACCCAACAGTTAGCATGAATGAGTCAGAAAAGTGAGCACCAGATAAAAGGAATATTTATAATTCAATTAGGTTTATGGGAGTTTTATCGATTCTAAATTGGTATTCACCACCTTCGCGTACTGAAAATAGGAAAACGTAGATCATTGGATTTCGACCCAGTGGTCCAAAGGTAACGTGGTCGCTATGGAACCTGCGTTCGATCCCTGGCGGGGTCGTGTGTGTACACTACTGAGTCTCATACTAGGATGAAACAGCTGTCTAACGTTCCCAGGTTTTCAATGCTTCTCCAACTGATGTCAATCAGTGATAAATAATACCATTGGAATATTTATAAATACTGAGTTGATAGCAGAAAATCATTCAGATTGTCTTCCCATAATGATAAAAACGATGACTACGATAAACATAGATATTATATACCGTTTCCATACACAGCTTATATATAACTAAACGCATACTACTCAATAGGTAATCGAGAACTTAAACAGTAGATTGAAACACAACTGTTTTTGTGTGACGGCTAACAGTACCCTCCATCTGTCTGTAATACATGAATTAGATTTAAAACGGTTATTTAGTAGCTAAAAGCTGACAGCCTAAACCATCCAATAAAAATTCACTCTAAATGCCTGGTACAAGGTTTGGATACCAAGCTGTGATCTGCACTAATTGACTACCCAGGTCGAAGTAGGTGGAACGGGGTTTGAACCTTGAACCATTGACATAGAGTAAAGTACTTACGCCATCATCGCGAAGTCAGTGAACGACAACCTTCACTACTGATCATTATCTTGTCGTAAAAATAAACATATTTCAGGAGAAATCAAAAGAAATCCCACCCTGATGAGTTGATATTGCAGTGTTCTTAATGATGAAATAATAACTCGTATAGAAAACTAGAAAGGAAAAAGAAGTGAACTTCAACTACTCTCTATATCTTGATCCTTACCGATAGTTAAGATTTGTTTTGTTTTAAATTCATCAAGAAATACAAATACCAAAATAGTGAATATTAATTACTCAATGCCTAACTGTCTTTAAATCCTCGAATCCCAACTTGATTTGTATATCTACAGGTGGCGGCACAGATGAGGACGTCAAAGCCAGGATCGGAAAACCAAAACAGGCGTTCATCAGTCTGAAATCAGTATGGAGATCTATTGCACTCAGCATAAAGCCCGAACAAGATCCGGATTTTTAACACCAAAGTCAGTGCTTCTATATGGTTCAGAGACTCGGCGCGTCACGAAAAGTATTTACAATAAACTACAGACATATATCATCAACAGCTGCCACCCACGTTCACTTGATACTGAAGATCAGATGGATGGTCAGAATAATAGAAATAAGCAACAAGAAACTCTGGCTGTCAATGAACCAACCAAGAACTCATCGCCCAACAAATATGCAGAAGAAAGTGGAGATGGATTGGATTGAACATACACTGAGAAGACAATTAGAAGACATCACGCGCCAGGCCCTCGAGTGGAACCCAGATGGGAGACGATGAGTTGGACGTCCCAGCTGAGGGTGACATGGAAGAGATCGTGTGAGCAAGAAATGAAAGCTTGTGGGGATTGGTGGAGCCAGGTTGAAAAGACTGCAGAGAAGAGAGTGAAATGGAGACGTGCTACTGAAGTCCTATGTTCCACTAGGAACCCAAGGGACAAATAATTAATAATAATAATAATAATAATAATAATAATAATATCTTACTACTCTTCACACATTCCTCGGACCTTCAGTTATGTTGACGTATAACTGTTATGGAACGCTAATGTACACCTTGGCAAGGGAAACAGAGTTCAAACTTGTTAGTTACTGGTTAGTAACTAATGCGCCATAGGTGAATACACTTACGTTTAACTATTTCGATATACCTTCAGCCTAATTTTTAAGCGATCCAAAGTGTTATATCATCAGAGCTGGTATTTAGATTAAAAAACACTCAACTGTCACAACTAATCAGTGCAAACTTCATTTTAAAAAAATTAAGGAATCAAAAGTATATAATCTGGAATAGATACATTAGAAATTCACATCTTGTAAGTACATTATAGCTTAAAGCTAAATGAGTAAATAAATACAATACATATATCTCAACGAGAAATATGCCATAAAATATCTCAAAAGTATTAAATGAAATAGTATAAAGGAACAAATATCTTATAAAAACAAAGAGAAGGATAACACAGTAACTAGTTATATATGTAACGCAGATATGGACTTCACAATAAAATCGGAATCAGACATTTCAAGAGATTTTCTGTTAAGTTGACGTTTATCTTTTTTGCTTAACTTTCTATTGAATGGGAAAGTTTGAAAGAAATCAACATTACAATCAGAATGCTTATTACTTGATACTCTTCTTCTTGTATTTCCGCATGAATTAATCGATGTTTTATCATTGTTCTCATCATCAGAAAAATAATCTATAGATATTTTACTAGATGTGATATTGTTTGTGGATGATAAAGGATCTTCAACTGAAAGACAAATCTTTATTCTTGTCGGATTAGTTGAAGTATCACCAAAAACACGTACACTTGAATAATGTTCACCATTATGATAAGCTAAATGAAGTTGAGGATAGGCTGAAACTCTCATCTGTGGTATATTAATAGAGGGAATACCGGCTAGCCATGGTTTTTGTTTCAATTGATGTATAATAATATAAACTGAGAAATAACGTGATATTGCAATAATACATTCATGACCACCATATGTTCCAAGAGAACGAAGATTATTCAATTTGTCTTTTACATCAAAAAATGGTTCGAATTCTTCCTTATGTGTTTCTATGTAAAGTACAGCTTGTTCACGAACTTCTTTATGATTGGCTATTGTCCCATACAATTGATCGGATAATGATGAAAATAAACAATTTCCATCAGATGGTACTTCACGAAAATCTAAACCAAGTTGATTTAATTGTTCACGAAATTCAGGTGCTGATGGATCATTCTTTAAATAATAATCACCTTCATTATTACCTTTACAGCATACTTTAGATATTCTCTCTAATTGTTGACTATCCGAATGGGTATTATTCTTTTTATTCCTTTGATAGCAGCCCTTGTTTTTAGACTTGGAACCCATACAAAGCAAAAACTCAAATCGTCTACCCCACAGTCTCAAGGTAGTACACGTATTATTATCACGTTAATCAGCAACAACAGTGACGGTTGATGTAACAGTAGTAGTAGGGGTGGTGGTGGTGGTAGTAGTAGTACCAATATGACTGAGGAGAAATCTACTTCATAACTGTAAAAAAGATTAAAGGATAATATGTTTTTACATAGCTTTAAGAAAGAGAACTAAGAAATCAACCCAAATTTAACGGTGAGCTCATCAGTCTAGCTCAAAACAAATATATTTATTGGAAAATTAAGTTTTCATTGTGCAATTCACTTACATAAAACTGGTGACTACCGATGTTTGACATTATGGCAAATGTGAGTATATTTAACTCAGCATTCACGTAAAGATATATTTATCAGAATGAAATATACCTTCGATAGCCTTCTATATCGGAATATAAAGGGAGGATAAGAACCGATGACTAAACGACTGAGAGACTAGATCGATAATTCATAGCTGCACTAAATAGGTTTACTGATAACAGCTCTATACAGTTATTTAGTTCGCTTCTTGTCTTGACTAACATAACCTTTCTTAGTAGGTGGTTGATAGATAATGCAAACTTATCTTCTGTATCTATTCATGGGAGCTAGTCACCCAATCAATTATTAAATCTCCCCGTATCTATTGTCTTACAGCTGACCTGTACAGAAACTACTCTGTATCTCCATTATATACAATTGCTACACTGAGTATAAATTTGATCAAAACTCAGTAATCTTCACATATCTTCCACTTGCAGTGATTGTCTTATAGCTAATTGTCAAAAGTAAACTCACACCTATGTTGCATACCTAACGATCGGTGGGGCAAATGGAAATCTAATAAGTTACGCAGGTGGTGAATAACATCATATTTCTAGTTGGTGCCTTTGTATATAGTGCAAATTGTAAACCGCTTTGCTAAGTACGGATGTCACAGATAAGCATATTCAACTGGTATTTAAAACTTCCAGAAGAAAAGTTCATACTTTACACGCTCAAGTGAAATTTACTGACAAACTAGTGGTAACGTGTTTGCAAAAAAATGGATCCTGATAATGTCTCAGGTTTATGTACATAATATAACTATTCGGTGATAGTTTTCAGTACTGCCAATTAAGTAAGGGATATCACCAGAATTTACTCCATTCTAAAGTTCATAAGTAATTATGGTGTCAACCTTAGTATAATTATTTTTTTGGTAGGCAGTATAACCATTTCACAGAAGTATTTGTAGTCAAGGCTAGACACAGAACTATTTAGCGTAATACACCCTTTTGGCTAACATTTTCACTGAAATTCGAAACTAGCAATCACAGCTTCAAGTAAATGGTTAGTGCTTGCCAAATAGGATGAAGCGGCCATAACGCATTTTACCGTTATAACTAATGAAAATGAGTGTGACGATACAATAGACTGATAGAAAAAATCCTGAAGTGGACCTCACATATCAACAAAGATTGATGAATCCAGAGTTCCAAATATCAGCAACTGGAACATTCTTGCCATCCTAATTTGCTTCTGACATACAATTCTGATCCACTAAAAGTACTTCTTTTATTGCAAATGATTTCATATAGATTAGATTTCCTTGGTTGTACTGGATTCTCTTTCTAGACAAGGTCATCAGTGCTAGCAATAATATGAATTCACACTGCAGTTATTGCTGACGATAGACTGATTTCACTGTCGTTATCACAAAAGGATTTCTCCCCTTTCTGAAGACTGGGACAATCAATGACTGAAACTAGCCATAAAGGACCGTATCTGATATTTAATAAACTAGCTGACATTTCAGTTGGATATAAATGATAATCCTTGACAGTCACCCCTTAGTACCTCAGGTACTAAGCCATCCGGTACTGCTATCCTTCATCGCATCAGAATACATAAGGCCTTCTCGACTTTCAGAAGAGCAGAAAGATCTACCTTAATGTTCCATTCCAGATTCCGATGGATGGCAAGCAATAGAGAAGTAGGTGAAGGTAAACTGAACTGTTCTTTGAAGTGTTCCACCTACCATTCTAGTCATCCCCCTGCCAGTGAATTACAGACTAGTCCTTCTCCACCATAGTCTCTCAAACCATTGAGCTTTTCACTTCAGTTTCTTTGATAAGTTTAAATAACTGCCTTCCACTACTTATTGTAGCTGTCTTTTCTATATCTTCAGCTTAAGCTACCCACTACTACTTCCAGGCATTACGCAATTGTAGCGGGTGACCACTATTATCTGTTCGTTTAGGGATTCCAAAAGTATCACCTAAGTACCTTTCTGCCTGACTTAGCCTACTTACTTGTGGATTGAAATCAACTGCAACAACTACCATGTGTGAACATTTGGTTTTCGGTAGGCTAGATAGTTTTTGTTAGAATCCATACTTCACTTCATCCGACTTGCAGTTTATGGGTGCGTAAACAGAGATTACAAAGAGAAAACGAAGAGTTTCACTGCTCTTTTTAGTCATCACTATATAGTTCAGTGGAACAGCTCATAGATGACTGTTAACTGGGATCCAGTCGAGTAGCGCACTTTCTGATTGAGTACTAAGTGCTATACGTACTCCTGTAAGACAGCAAAAGCTAGTCATCAAATCTTCAAAAACTCGAGGGAAAATTTTCGCAGATTCGCCTTATTGACCGAGTGAGGTTTAGTGAATAACAGCACTTGGGTCTTGTAGGCCTGTCTCGCAAATGCAACATACATTCATGTTCCAAGACGCCAGAATTTCGATTGACGAAGTTTTCCGTCTGATTTGACGGGGGATTTGGACATTAAAAGCTCCAATGTTTAGTCTGAAGTGCAGTTTCAGGAAACCAGGGATGTTGTTCCGTGAACTTGAATCGTTATCAAAACCTCCAGAACTGGAAGAAACTGATGATGAAGTAGGAATATTAATCTAGAGATCTGAAGAAAGATCAGAAGGTAAAGATGTTGAAAGTCTATGACGATCTAAAGGAAGTTGAGTGCTGACAGACTTATGAAGGCAGCTGACACTTCCAGGGGGGCACACCATGGAAGATGACTATTTGAAGTACCTGGAAAAGTATTAGGTTGGTAGTGGTGCTACAGTACCACAGAGTCCAAAGGCGATCTGCTACAGGCTGGTCACAAATAGCCTTTTTGGAAGCTTGAGACTTAACTCAGATTGATTTTCACCCAACTAGAAAACTTATATCACCAGTGCCAAAAGACCACAGGTTAATGGAGTGTTCTATTTCTGCGCCAACCTTTTCTAACCCACCCCGTTTTCATACAGAGAGCTGCATCAACATGGCACTGATGATTATCCACATGAGACACCTTACTGCTGTCACTTCCCATCCAGCCAGCAGTACAACCCCCGTCACAGCGTAAAACTTTACACCATAACGGTAATTGCTGTTTATCTTACCTTTATCAAACAGACCTTCCTGGCATGATGAAACTCAAGGGAGCGATTGTTCACTAGCATAGTTTGTTTCCTCTTTTACACGGTCTTCAAAACATGAGTCTTATTCCATTACGAAGACATCCAGATTTCAGTTACACTGCATAATTGTGAAGCCATGGAGACAAATGCACTGTTGTTTTATGTCACTTTTCTGAATCCGCTCATTTTTTTAGGTTTATGGTTTTTCTTGGTAAGAAGAATGTTTAGAAGTAGCATGCTGTTTTCTTATTCTTCTTCAAAAATAAGTTGGATGGCAGGATGAAAGTCACTGAAGACTTCCAGTTTATAAACCTCCATATCACATGCAATGAACATATCATCAATGCGATAGCAATAGTACTCAGGCATAAATAATTTATTCCGTAACGAACTACTCTCTAGCCTTGCCAAGAAAATATCGCCTAGCATAGAACCAAGAGCAGAACTGACAGAAACCCCCATTTACTTTTCGAGAAAATTATTCGTTAAATGTAAAGTCAGTATTCATAGTACATCTTATTAATAACTCCATTATTCCCAGTATGCTTCCCGCTTATCTATAGATACGATGGTTGGTCATACATACAATCAACAGTTTTATAAGCAGAACCTAAGTGATGGTATGATACATAAAGACAAAACCCTCATTATCCGCCCGCTTTGTCTAAAACCATGAAAACACACTCCAAGTTCGACTATTTCATGGAGCTAATGTTCTAGCTGTACAAGCCATCTTTATGTTAAAATCTATTGAGTTTGACATGTTAAGAATTTATTGTAGGTGTATAGTCTCGACTTGTAGACCTTTCGTAGGCTGCATAGCCTAGGCTTATGAGCTCTAGGTTTCACTGCTTCAAACGTAGATACCAGAATGAAGTTCCAAGTCTTAATTGACTTAGGACTTTGCACGGACTGGTGCTCAGTAGCTTTGTACAAATCTTGGTAACGGAATTTCTAGAATTTGGTTCTATCAACAAGAAATGGACTTATTATTTCGATATACTCACACCTACTAACAATAACCGCACCTGACCGATTATCAGGGTCAGAAAATTACTAGACTTCTGTCAAACTTTAGTTGATTTATTTTCATCAGTTATTTTCGATATGTTTAATATTACTTCGGTGATAACGAAAATAAGTGAGAGTATTTGTGAACCGCTCTATCTGCCATTTAGAAGAAAACGTTAAATGTTGATTCCCGATAAAAATGCTTTCAAACTGTACATTTAACTTTCGATATTTGATCACAAAATTTATTGTTTTTCTGACTCAATTTGTTCGTCACTTAGCATACACCTTGGGTTCACTCTGCAACTTTTCAGTTAAAAAAACGTTAGGAGCAATCGAATATATCAAATTCTTCTTAATAAAACAAATATGTTTACCGGAAATCTCCGAAGTTCACCCGAAGTTCCCAGAACTTATGAAGTGCATCCAAAGTTTTTCCAGGGTTAGGCCCAAATTCTCCAACGTGAGCCCGAAATGCCCAAGCTAATAATCATGAGAAAATTATTATTATTATTATTAGAACAAAAACGGTACAACATGGTCACCAGATGAACAATACTAAATAATAAAACATTATGAAGACAAAGAAGAGAGTATGAACAAAAATGATCTAGTAATTGAGTAGTCTTGAAGATACATCACAGTACATCTAATGTATTTTTTAATTTCCAAAAAAACTCCAAAATGATCAGCAATGGTTTTGATTGTGCTACATATCTGTAATTTTCTCAGGCCACCAAGTTTCATGATCTCTTGGACCCCATCCAGAGAACTGTGGAGTACCTTGAGATGCCTACTCAACACAGCTATCTTTCATCTGATACCACCACTTCGTATACTGGCCACCTTTCCACTTCTTCCAACCAATTCCACGGCAAACGAACAATAGGTGGTATAGAAACCTCTAGGATGATACGTGTAACATTTTTCCAAGCTATCGAATTCAGTTTCTAGATGACGACATTCAACGAATAACGATCTTCATCAAACCCAACCACAAGCCATCTCATTTCAGAATTACTTACATGGTGCTTCCCCCACATAGGAACAACTCTGGGCAGAAAACATGTCAAAAACGCCTAGTTGTCGAAGTCAAACTAAAACTTAAGTGCACTAAGCTACCATGTGCATATTCATGAAGTAGACAATGAACCATATCTATTGTATGAGTTAATGATCCTACATGGCTGCTCAAACCTCAGTAGGTGGAGTGGGATTCGAACCCTTGACTTACTGATTGGTGTCAACTAACTGAACCAATAAGCTACAGCGCGCATAGTCATCGGACATAATCAGCCCGGGAAGCCCAGGTTCCACAGGTGTAGATCAAAACTATCTGAACGAACGCCTTGTATACCAAACCTTCTACAACAAAATTAACAACATGATGACGACAGAGATTGTCGGATGCCACTCTGGTTGTCAATATATGGTTGGAAAGCTCACCAGTCTCACACCGACAGCACACATAACTATTCAGGTACAGAAACTTGCCAAAAACTTCTAACGATTCACCGCGAAGGACGAGTTAAAGCACAGGCTCCTGTCAGTCTTGTAGAAGTCTGTTGCACATCATTGGTAAAAGGTACATACCAAACTTACGAACAACCATAGCTGGCATTTTGACTTGAGAGTTCAGATTGTATACAATGAATCAACGAACTAAACTAGTAGAGAAATTGCTCTCTTGACGTTCTGCGATGCCAGAAAGGTTTGTTGAATAAAGGTAAGATGAGTTATTATCATTGTGATGCAAATTGCAAAGCTGTGATGGCGGTCCCAGGGAGAAGTCGTAATGCTGCCTGGATGGGATGTGACAGCAGCAAGGTGTTTCACTCTGATGACCAGCAGTACCACGCTGATGCCACCCTCTCTGAAGGAACGGGGAGGGTTAGAAAAGATTGGCCCCGAAACAGAACACTCCGTTAACCTGTGGTCTCCCAGTGCGGCAGTATGTTTTTTCTTATGCGGTGTTTGAACAACCAAATCTCAAAGCAATATCCTAAAAAGGCCATGCATGACAAGTTTCTTGTGGTCCTATAGGCTATGAGGTCACATAAACATATTTCTTCTTCTCTTTCAGGCACCCTGCGGAAAAACCTCAAAGATAAGGGAAACTGGGAAGTATCAACCATCTGCATGCTTCCAGTACTATCCAAATCCAATCAAATACAACCAATCCTTCTTACTTGTGTTCCCTCCCTTCCCTTCACTACCTGGTGGTGATACAGAGCCTCTTACAGCTCCATCAACTCACCATACGACCATTGCTAGTGATGTAAGCTTGTGAAATACCATTCCTAGTCTTTTAAAATCCCACTGTCCATTTCACACTGGGGCTTTTAACCTCGGAAACTTATGTCGAATTGGACAATGTGTCTCTTCCCAGAACTCTGAAATCTCAAGCTATGGATATAAGCTGTACCTGAAACACGCAAAAATAACCCGTGTGGTTATTCACTCGATCTCATCTGGTCGATGAAGTGAATCTGCAAAACTGATTTAACGAGTGTCCAGAGGTTGAATGATTGGTTCTTGTTCATACAGTAGTCTAGGTACATAATTGGGTTGTAGAGCAGAAAGCGCTCTCCTCGATCGGAAACCAGTCAACAGTCTGCTGTCCAACTGAATAGATCACCCAAGAACCCATCGACTACATTTCGGATGATACAAAGGATGAATTCTATCAAAAGCTACCGATCTCGCTACAAAAAGCAAATTTCTCAGATACAGTCATAATAACTTTAATGCTCAAGTATGAAAGCTGAGTCCACGAGGCATCTTGGGGGTACCTACGGTATCCCATACCTGCCGCTTGCTTGAACTTAGGGTAACCAATGAAATTTTCCACCAGATATATTATGTCAAATTCCTCTTCTCTCTCTCTCTCTTAAATGTCCAAAACTAGTTTTTTGAAGTAATAAAAAAATGTCATATTAGACGGAAATGAACTTTCAAATGCACAAAAGTACACGCCTGAGCTACAAATATTCTCCACTATTACATAATATTTCTATTCTTCGGATACTTATCTCGAAAGGTATATTCTTCCACTGGCTAAATGAACCACCGCCACTAAATACTAGACACTAATCCAGTAAACACCGGCCGCTTCACATTTTTACGTTTTTGTGAACATCATCTAGACACCATAATCACTTTGTTAGAGAATGTTATTTTAGGGGCAAATTTGTTAATTGATTACATGCTGAGAATTCCATAATGCACTAAGTATATTGTTTGGAATAAAGCCATTATTATTGTTGTTAGTACTACTACCACTATTATTATTGTTACTGTTATTATTATTATTATTATTATTGAAAACGAACCAATAAATGTTATTGTCTATCGCAACTCCGTTCTGACAATCACTTGTTTCTGTCCATCACTTCAGACATAAGGACAGTCATCGTCTCACATGACGCCTATCGACACCAAACCATTGATGGAAAAAACAGATCATATTGCCATCAGCCACTAACGGAGGGTGATCGCTCTTTCTAGAGTACCTGTTTGGACTCAGAGTATGCCTTATTACAAGTACGTGTATGTCTGCAGCTTATCGGTTGCAGGAAACAGGCGGTAGTGAAGCCTGTGCGTGCTCAATTGGGAGATGAGAACGTCGACTGTGTATGTAGCGAGGAGATCACTCGGCATCTTTATCTAAGCGTGATGTCAACTCTCATCCTGATAAGGCCTCGCATAATAAACAGTCTGCTGCAGAAACAGTAGCATAAATAGTTGGTAGCCTACATCCAAGGTTATCAAAAGTCGGTGAATTTCTACAATCTTGTCCGAACTCTATCGCGAAACGACTCATTTCAGCTGGCTGTGACTACGATAATGATTGGAAGCAGCTTAAAATTAAACAAAGTCTTCTGAATGATCCCGAGCAGTGTGGGTGGCAAAAGTAAAAGAAATGGAGAAGGTATGAGCATTAAATAATAATCAGCAATTACTTAGCTGCATTAAGAATAGTGGCAAGAAAACAATGACCAACACCAAAAAGGATGGAACCCTGATAACCTCTCAGAATAGGCTGTTAGAACGTTGGGTGGAACACTTTAAAAAACAGTTCAACTGACCCACAGCAACGCTTCAGCTGCCCAGTATCCAGCTCCAAGCTGAATGTGACATGAATGCTGGTCCTTCAACTCCCCTTCAAGTTGTGAAGGCTGTTTCTCGAAATGAATCGAAGGGCACTCTTTGTGCACATTCATGCAGCAGGCAATGAGCTACATTTATTGTTTTAGGGCTAATGATGCTACCTGGTTGTCCAAACCTCGGTAGGTGAAATGGTATTCAAACCCGTGGCCCACTGGTTGAAAGTCAGCTCCCTAAACTAATGAGCCACAGCTTATTTATGACCTGAAACTATGCAAAGCAGCAGCAGGAGTCGACAGTTTGTCACCAAAAGCGTCTAAGGACGAAGATAGGAAATTATTGAGTGGAGTAACAGAGGTGCTAAGTGATGTATGAAAATCAGAGGTACTTCCACCTCACTGATCATTCCAGTTCATGAAAACGGAGAGAAGTCTTCTTATGACAACTACAGATAGATAAGCTTGACTGACTTCATGTCTAAGATTCTTGAGTCGATAGTTAACCGATGCCTAACTGGAGCTCCAGGACAGAAAACTCAAAAACCAAGCCAGCCTGAAGACCTGGGCGAGAGTTCACTGACCACATCTTCACCCTTCGACAGGTTTAACAACGCAAGGAAACTTACAGATGGTCTAAACTCCCTATATTTCTACACCTGAAGGCGACATTCGACTCTTTCGATCGTGAGTTGCTGTGCTGCCTAACTGGAGTTTGAGAAAACCAGGCAGATTTCAGACCTGAATGAGGACGCATCGACCATACTTTCGCCCTCTAACAGGTTGTAGAACATAGGCATATCCACTGGCGGTTGACGCTTGACATATTTCCTGACCTGAAGGCAGCATTTGACTCAGTCGACTATGAAGTATTGTGGCAGTGTTTGATTTGCAGACGAGTACCAAGCGATTATATAACGCTAACTAAACCTCTCTACTCAAACTCACGCAGTCGTATCAGGGCTTATGGAGAGTTGTCTTCAGAATTAACGACAACTAGTGGTGTTCGCCAGGGATGTCAACTCACCGTTCCCATTTAACTTCAACACAGACGTACTAAAGAAAACAACCTCAGGTACGTCCGACTCTCTATAGGTCATCTGGCTGACCTGGAATATGCAGACAATATTGTCCTGCTACGTGAAGACACTGACGCAATGCAAGGTTATCTGAGCGTGTTGAGCAGAAGTCTGAAAATGTTTGACATGGGTTTCGCAGCTGTCAAATGTAAGCTGATACTCCAGTACTGGTCTGTTGCAAGTACTCCTAGTTTAATGACAGAGTGAAGTGGTGGAATGCATCAAGCACTTCACCTACCTCGAAAGTTGCGTCGGCTTAAACGGGTTGGTTGCTGATGAAAACTCAGTTTGGATTCAGAAGGCCCATTTGGCATTCGTCAACGTGCGTCATCTGCGACCAAAACTGGCCAGATGTCCCATTACCTATCAAACGATGAATATACTCCACTGCAGTCCATTATATCCAGTTACACGGCTGAGACATGGTCGTTAAAAGTACATGTGAAGAGATTACTAAGTCTCAATCACAAATATATTCGTAGCATTGATAGCGTTTGGTGGAATCATAGTGTGAGCAATGTTGAGGTCAGGCGAAGGGTACCAGGGAAGACAGGCAAGTCGATTGATGAGGTTGTGAACCTTCATCAACTGAGATCGCTTAGATATAAATTTCACATGTCAAGCAGCTTCTAACTAGATGCGTCATGATAGAGAATGTTGGGTTAGGTTCGAAGAGAGTTCAGGGTGGCCAGATTAAGATGTCGCCACAGTCCATGAAGTCCCTCATTCTTCCAATCAATGATTAAACAAGATCAGCAGCTATCAGCACATTTAACTGTTAATGTAGTCAGCAGTTAACTCCTGTAAATAAGTTGGCAAACCAGTAGACAAGTTATCCATAGACTGTTGATTCAAAAATCAAACCTCTAACTGGGTTCACTTTCCGTTTCAGACATGACTATTCTCACTCAGCAGGTAACTGTCAATTTTTAGTTGGCTGACATTAGGTTGGAAGGAAGTTCAGGGTGGCCAGATCAAGATGTGGCACCAGTCGATAAAGCTGTTGACCGTTGGTCTGAGCCTTGTAGGAAGATGCAGACTACCGGGCTGGGGTCCCAAGACGAGACGGATCAGTCGTTGACAACTCTTCGTGACATGGTTGAAAATCGACCACAATGGTACGGATGTATCCACTCTTCCATACCTAAAGCTTGAATATTCGCACTAACTGTTATCTCCTAATTAGTTGTCCACTTACACTACTTTGTCTACTTTGATATCACTTCTTTTGTATCCACCTGCTATCATTGTACTACTGTGAAGTGGGGCAACTCGAACCGATGCACCTGTGTGCGAGGTTCCACGTTGATCTTGTTAGTCAGTCAGTAATTCTGACTATGAGGAGACTATCAAGCAAGTATATAACGCCAATTAAAGCTCTCTATTCGAATTCACTTAGCTGCGTAAACCCTGATGGAGTTTTTATCTGAAGTGACGATAGTTCGCAGCGTTCTCTGTGAGAATGACTGCTATCACCGCTCGATTAAATATCTGTTAATGGACATAATCTTTCGTAAGTTTGACTTCACAGTGATTGACCTACTTCCTGTAGGGCATTTTGTTGACCTAGAGTAAGCAAATTCGTATCTGTGAATGAAGATGATAACTCTTGAATCCGTGGCGGTTGAATATTCGGTGTGTTGACATTCTTTTGTGAGGCTTGTTGATTTTATCCGCACTAACTGCATAAAGAAACAAAGCCACAGTTAATAAGGTCATTGAGCCTAACGGTGAAACACCGATAACCAGATGTCTAGGGTAACAGAGTAACAAACAGTTTCAACCAATGTTTTTCACTGTCTGGATTGATGTCGGCACTCATTATGTCGTTACCTTCGAAGTTACATGGGAATCCTTATGTGGTGGAGTCAGTTATGCCATAATTTTTGGACCGGATCAAAATCCTAATCATAGAAATATCGATCTAGGCATATAACTGCAGTGGCCCAGATGTACGCATACACTATCTTAATGATCACGCTGAATTTCAGCATTATCTCATTTCTCCGTGCTTTCTTTTGAAGACTTCTTACCACTTTTGACTGCAGTCTTTATCTATCTTCCATCTAAGTGGATTCTCGCCTGGTGTGCTGATAAAGTATAATGGCTTGAACAGTTACGCAGTAATCCAGAGTTCCACTTTGATGTTTGTCTACTTGAAACAGCACTAGAAGACTTGCAGTAAGCAGATGCATTTCGAAGTAGTTTTCAGAGTAACTGTCTAAGACTTTCAAATTGAATGGAAGATCATAAGAGTTTCGGAAATGTCAACGAAATGCCGACCTTTTTTCAATTGACTGGTGTGTTGGCTACTATAACAGACAACTTTATTGACTATTCTCCACAAAACCAACTCTATGAAAAGTAGTATTAATTCATTGCTATATCTTTTAGATCATTGTCGAGTAGAAGTATATTTATTCAACTTCATTATTAGTACGACAGACTGACTAATTAGATTTGAAGCATCTTATTGACCACTTCCTTAATTTTATAGTAAATCTTATGAACAAAATGTATTTTCAGTCTATGGTTGGTTATATTGAGGACAAATAAACTTGCTGTTCTTCAATTATTTATCTTAATCTCAACAGTGCGCAGTTAGGACAGCTAGCATGATGACGTACTTGACTACCATACAATATCAGTGTAATCTCAGTTCATACCAAATGAAACGAATAACAGAATATAATTTGTAGAAGTCGGATGAGATAGTTAGTATTGTGTCATAACTCAGGTGAGTTAACCAAAATATGACACGAGTCCTAAACTAATAAAGATTTTTCTGATATTTCTAAGACTGTATTTTCTAATCATGCTGACATAATCGCTTTTTTACTAACGGCTGTAGTCACCTTAAAACTTACTTTCAACGTTGGTTGTGAATAGCTGAGAAAACATCCCAACAATCAAATTATGTCTTACCACCGATATACATCATAAGACTCTCCGATCCCTATCAGCTCAACTTAAAATGGTGCCACGAACACTATTAATGCTCCTGTTTATACCTTACTACACCACAGAATTCTCCATACGGGAAGTGACTTCGATGAAGACAAGCAGCGAATACCACTACCAACAATGAGTTATCAGGCGCAACCATAGGTTTGACACAAATAATTGTGATGAAGCTGATACATGATACAAATTATATCAACCATGATATTGCAGTCTGCATAGAAACTGGATCACTGATCATCTCCTTGATAATGTCTTCAGTCATCTGTATACAACTGAAGCAGGCGTGAACGGTTACCACGGTGACAAAAAACCGTACTAAATGAAGAAAAATTGGAAGTAAGATGTTTTAGATAGTCATTACGTGATTTAAATTTATCAAGGAGACTAAGCGTTACGACAATACACAACTATATGCGAAATTCGCCTATGTATCTGGAGAGGGAAATTATCATACAATGTCCTGCATTAAAAACAATAAACAACAAGAAGAGTACGGCAACAAATAAAACAAACAGAAACCAACGAACTTAAATGTTGAGGTAGCGCACGAGCTAATTAAGCCGGGTCCAACTCCCAATGCCAGTCTCATACTTACACTGAACAAGATTGAAACACAAAAACTAGTGATATTCTTTCCGATGTTTATCTCTTTAAGAACTTTGTCTTTCCATCAAAGCCTTCATCAAGCATCTACCAGCACTTGTACAAAATGCTTGGTTAATCCATTCATCCTTTGGAGTGAAGCAAAAGATTCATCTGCCACTTCCTTACATTTTTATGGTTTATATGGTAATCAGAACCGACAGTGGTGAAGCATTATATCAAAATTGTTCTATGCAACAAAATCGGAAAGTCAGATACCTCTTTTCCTTCAATATGACTTCAGTAGTCCTGATAATAGCGATTATTTATTGTATTATTATTTGTCCCTTGGGTTCATGATGGAACATAGGGCTTCAGTAGCACGTCTCCAGTGAACTCTGTTCTCTGAAATCTTTTGAACCTGGCTCCACGACAGCCCACGAGCCCTCATTTCCTCCTCGCACAATCTCCTCCATGTCACCCTCACCTCGGACGCCCAACTCGTCGCTTCCCATGGGAATTCCACTCGAGGGCCTGGCCTGACGCGTGATGTCCCCAGTCGGCCTTCTCAATGTATGCCCAATCCATCTCCACTTCCACTTCCTTCCAATGCATATTTGTTGGGTGATAGGTTCTTGGTTGGTTCGTTCCCAGAGCTCCTTTTTGCTTATTCTGACTATTCTGGCCATCTGATCTTCAGTAACCAGCCAGCGTAAGCAGTTGTTGATGAATGTCTGAAGTTAATTGGAAATGCCTTTTGTGACGCGCCAAGTCTCTGAACGATACAGGAGCACTGACTTGACGTTGGTGTTGAAAATCCGGATCATGTTCATGCTTTATGCTGGCTGAGTGCAGAAGATCTCCACACTGGTTTCAGGCTAATGAAGGCCTGTCTTGCTTTTCCGATTCTGACTTTGACATCCTCGTCCGTGCGGCCACCTGAAGTTGAAACAGTGCTTCCTAGATAGGTGAAGGAGGCTACTTCCTTTAAGTTTCTCCCGTTGATGGTGATTGGAGTTTGGTGTTGTTGTTGGAGTTGTTGGTGCGGTGTCTTCGTCACTTCTGTCTTCTCTATATTCACTTGAAGTCCCGTCTTCGCTGCCGCTTCTGCCAACTTGTTAGTTTTCGTCTGTAGATCTTAAAGTTCGTGTGACATCAGACATGTCATCGGCGAAATCCAAATCTTCTAGGTTCTTTTCCGCAGTCCAGCCAGTGTATCCCTCTCTTCTCTCCCCCCACTGTTTGCTGCATGATCCAGTCCAGGCCAGTCGACCACAATCAGGAATGTCATGTGGGATAGTAGGCAACCTTGTTTCACTCCTGTCTTCACTTCAAAAGCATCACTGAGCTTCCCATTGTGAACTACTTGGCATGTGGCGTCTTCATATAGTTGTTGAATGAGGCTGACGAAGGTTTGTGGTACTCCGCGGCGTTGAAGCAGCTGCCAAATTACTGTCGAAGGCCATTTCAATGTCGATGAAGTTGAGGTGTAGAGTTGACCGCCATTCTATACTCTGTTCTATGATGATGTGTAGTGTAGAGTTGCAATTTGGTCTGAACATGATTTGTACCTCCTGAACCCAGCCTGCCTGTTCCGGGCGTAGTTTCAAATCCAGCGCATCCTTTAGTCTCTTCAGGATGATGCGTCTTAATATTTTGCTTGCCCTGAGTGGACAGTAGAGTGATTCCTAGCCACTTCTTGCAAAGGCATAGGTCTCCCTTCTTCTGCAGTTTAACAAAGTAACCCATCTTCCAATCGCCAGGTACCTTCCCTTCCTTCCAGACCCTGTGCAGTAGTGGTGTGAGCATGTCCGCTGTTATCCCTGCGTCTGTTTTCAGTGCTTCTAGCAGGATCCCGTCTGCTCGTGCTGCTTTCCCACATTTCACTAGCCTTATGGCGTTCAGGACCTCCACTTTTGTTGGAGGATTCATGTTCACTTGTGGTTCAGTGGCTGGACTGCTGGTGGTATTTGTGGACGAAGTGCAGGTGGTGGTTGTAACGGAAAAATGATCTGAAAATCCCTCCCGATCACTTTTATTTGATTGTATTGACATTTATTTTAACATTTTTACCCTCGTTGTGGATGGTGTACCTTTGACCCTCGCCGGTGTAATGTTATTTGCTTGTTTAACTGTCTTATTTGACTTTACACTCGGTATTTGCCTTTGTATGTTTGAGACTTATTATGAGTGTTTCACTTTCCTATTATGTGACGCTGGACTGTTGATAAGGTGATGTTGTTTTACTGCGCACGACATTTTGTTTTGGTTCAACTTACGGTTGTGCAGTGATTTGACTGTTTGTCTTTTGACTGTCTGCTGGGAACGTTTGTTTGTTGATTTGATTCCTGTAGACAGAGTTTTGATCCCTTTTGCCGGGAATATTCTTATTGACCGACAGTACGTATTTGTACCCGAGAACGTTTTGGACTGTATAGTTACCCAACGGCACTGTTGAGTATCACAGATTTTGTTACGAATCTACTATTGAATTACTACAAACCGTGTTTTGATATTTCGATCCAACCTTTGACTGTGCGTCACTCGCGGAAGTTAGGAAGCTATACAGTAGAACGCAGGAACTAGTCAGATTCACGTCAGTTGGCACCGACTAGCTATTTCCCGCGTTCATGCCAAGATTATTGGATTCTGGCCGCTACAGTGGTCAATTCAAGAGCATTTGGAAGTGGTCAGCCCATTGTTTCCTTTGTTTCTCTTCTTTCGTCATTAAATTTCCCTCATCATCTTTTATTGGCTTCGTCTGCGTGGATCTCTTCCCTCCCAGATTGTAACCTGGCCATTTGGCACAATGTTGTCAGGTCTTTCCCACCTACAGCCTGTTCTGCTTCACTTGCCAGTATTTCGTAGAAGAGTCTTTTGTCTTTGCGTGCACTCTTCTCCACTTCTTTGTCCAGTGTAGTGTTTTGCACATTGTACTCAGTTCCTCTTGTCGTTGACCATCCTTGCACTGGTTTATGATCTGCTTCACCATCACCATGCTCCTCTCCTATCTCCTCTCTATCCGCTTCCATGTATCCATCGAGATCCATTCCTTATCTCCTTTCTTCTTCCTTCCTAATACGGTTGTGCAGGTTTCTTTCCACATAGCTTTCAAAGACTTCCAGTGTTCATCCACACAAGTTTCTTCAGGGATGTTGCTTGATATCTCCCATTTTGTCTTGATGGCTGCCAAAAGTGAAGATGTCCTTCGTAGTTTAGTCCTTCAGTTAAAAAAAAATTCTAGATGTTGTACTTGAACTATGGTCTATCACCAGCTTCCTTGAAGGCTTTTAACTTGATTTGGAAGGTAAAATCCTTGTACTAGATAGTGGTCTGAACCTACATCTGCTCCTCTTCTTGACCTAAAAATGTGTCAAGCAGACTGCGTCTCCCATTTCTTGAGATTGAGATAAAGTCGATTTGATTTTTAGTGTAGTCTGGTGATCTGGTGAAATCAAAAACATGTCGCTTTGTGCTTGAACACAGTGCCTCCAATCACCAAATCGGTGAATGCACAGAATTCTGCATTTCATCGAGTGCTTCTCAACCAATGGTTAGTTCTCTTCCTGTGTTGTCCCCTCCCAGTTTGGCATTCATATCACCTCACCGATCAGAATTTTGATATAGCCAACTGAGGTCTTGTCCAGTGTTGATTGCAGTTGCCTGTAGAATTCCTCCTTCTTCTCTTCACCTCCATTATTTGTAGGTGCATAGCATTGTATGGTTGTGACCTTCCTTCCTTTTGAGTTCAACCTTGCTCTCATGATCCTAATCCTGGGGGAGATTGGTTCCCACCGCATGAGAGCCTTCGATGCTCTCGGGGACATCATGATAACCACTCGAAAACTCAGTGTGCTGGTGGTTGTCGTCTGGGTGACAGTATCGGAGTAGATTATCGATTCTGAAGTTGACTGTTCGGAGAGTCCACTTCCATCCCAACTGCTGATTCCTCGTAGATTCCTAGTACTTCAATGCTATGCCCTGTCATCTGTTTGGCAACCTGGTTGGCCTTGCTAGGTTCATATATGGTGCGGACATTCCATGTCCCGACGTTTACTTTCGCTTCCATCGAGGTGGTGAAGATACATCGGCCAATTGGCTTCCCGAAGGCTTTCACCAACTGGCGTTATTTCGCCTCTCCAATTCCAGCGAGGAATAATTAAGTTTTTATTTTTATATTTTGTTTGTGCTTTGAAGTTTGTTTAGCGGTTGGATTTGTTTTACGGGGTAGGGTTGCTGGCTCCCGGGCTTAGGACCAGCTGGTAACTAGTGAACTAGTTGACCAGGCGAGGTTGATAATAGCGATACAGACGGAAAAATTATATATTGTTAGGGTATAAAGTATTTTCCTGATAAGTATTCATACATATTTTGAAATACATTTCATGAATACTGTATGCAGTTGTTAGCTTGTCACATACTCCTAAGTGGACAGGAACATGTATAAATAATAAAGTGAAAACTATATGTATCAAAAGCACGATGGACGACATGTAGAAGGTTTCGATTGAAGGGGACACTGGTCGTGTGATAAAACAGGTCGTTTTAGCCGTTTTTCATGTGTTAAGATGTTTGTTCACAACGATGTTAGTGTGAAGGCTCGGGTGCGCATCACCAGATTGCTGACAGTCCCCAAAGTTTCGCGGAATAACCTCTTTTCAGCAACACGGGGAAAAAAGTGGGGGAACAATATTGGATAATAGGCGAGATCCAGGGGTTTATAAAACATAAGGGAAGGAGCCGACTTATGCTAAAAAAAATAAGCCTTCTGATTTGATGAGTTAGGTGGAAGATTCTCTTGGAAGTCGATGAGACATGGGGAGACTAAGAAAACTCAAAAGAAAAACACAAACCAGTATAGAAAACTAATGTAACATTCTCCCTTGTACAGTTGTCGACGGGTGAGTGAACATGAGGCTTAAGCGGTTTAAACGGGTCATGTTTATCTCTCAACCCGAAATTTGTCGTC